AGCCCCGTGTGTGCACGCCGCGCCTCGCGAGTTTTAGCCCCTCCGCTAGCCACGGGTTCACCAGCAAATGGCATGTACCAGCAATTGTCTGCACACGTTTCGCCATCCTGCTAGTCCTGACAGACAGAGCCCAGATGTGGAAGTATATATAAGTATTCGCTGTCTTGCCGATCGGCGCGGGCCCTCGTAGGAGGGAGGAGGGAGGAGGGAGGAGGGAGGAGGGAGGAGGGAGGAGGAGGGAGGAGGGAGGAGGGAGGAGGGAGGAGGAGGAGGAGGAGGAGGAGGAGGAGGAGGAGGAGGAGGAGGAGGAGGAGGAGGGAGGAGGAGGGAGGAGGGAGGAGCAGGGCCCCCCCTCACCATGGAGCAGATCTTGGCTGTTTTTGTTGGCGCCCGTTTCGGGCGGGTGGAGTCTCCCCCCAGAGGCAGCACTCTCGCAAACCGTCGCACGAAGGAGAGGTCTGCCACCAGACCTCCTCCCCTCCCTTCCTCTTCCCGCCCACTGTCGAAACGCCGAATAAAGAAAGCTCACCACCGGCGCCAAGAAGCCTAGTCGTCTTTGTCTTCTGTCCGCTCCCTCACACTGATTGGAGGGCACCCCTCTAAGTACGGACCCCTCGGCCGCTGAAAGCGAGGCCGCAGCAGAGAGATCAGAGCGGCATCACCCACCAGCTCGTGCCTCGCGGTCTGAGTTGGAGAGCTGTCCTTATCCACGGTGGCTGCCCGAGGGCGCGCAGGTAGATACAGTCGCGCTTTTCCGCGGGGCGCGCGGCGCGAGGCGCGACGTCGGGAGACCCGGGCCGGCGGGACCTGGACACTTCTGGGGGACCTCCCAGAGGGGGCTCATTTCGATTCCTTGGATTCGATTCGATTCGGCTTCGATGGCTTCCGATTCCGATTCGATTGGACTTCGGATTCCGATGTGGGTTCCGATTCCTCATTGGACGCATGTTAGCCTGCCGATTTCAGCCGATTCGACTTTTCCCGACTCAGCTTCCGATGTCTTCCGGTCTGATCCATTTCGATCGCCGATCCGACCTGTCGATTCGATTCTGGGCTCTCCTGAGTGGGGGACCGGGGGTGCGTTCGAGGCATCTCAGTGGCTTCACGATGGCGTCGCTGGGCTTAGCATTGTGCCGGTGTGTCCGCTCCCGGTCCTCTCCTCCAAGTGGCGCTGGAACAAAAAAAACACGGCACATGATATCTCGCCAGATTTCATGGCCCTTTTTTTTCTTCCAACACGTCCTCTGGTCCCCCCCCCTCGTCTGCGCTCATGCCTCGGACTATGATTTACGAAACCCTACTGTTGGACATGTCGGAGGGTGTCTGTGTAGAGTCGGCCCTGATTAGCAGGTCGACCCTGCCAGATCCGGGGTGCTACTGTGTCCTCTGCATCGCGCGTGTGTCCTCTGCAGTCCTGGGGCACGGTACCCTCAGGATGGGCCTCAAATAGATATAACCTGGGTTCATAATGTGCTGGGATTATTGACCAGTGTTCATAATGTCTCGCCCAGAACATTATGAACCTGGGTTTCAGTGTTCTGGGAAAATTGACTAGGGTTCATAATGTTCCCCCCGGAACATTATGAACCCTGGCTTACAATGTTCTGCAGATACCGACCCCAAAAACATATTGCCTTGGGTTCATCATGTTCCGGGCACATTGATTGGGTTTTATAATGCCCTGGGAATGATGAACCCGATTTTCCTAATTCCGGACTGATAGTAATTATTATGTTTCCCCCACCCCCCGGGTTCCCCACCAGGTTTTTCATTTTCATGTCGCAATATGGGCCCCGGTTTGTTATCTCCAGGAGATAATAAACCCCGGGTTAATTATTCTGGAATGATAATGATTGAGCCTGGGGGGCGCCGTTTGAGAGTACGTTCCCATCTGGAATGAACCCTGGTTTATAATGTTGGAATATTAAACTTAGGTTGATTATCCCGTGAAGATAATGATTCGGCGGGAGGGGGGCCGACCCCGATCCATTCACAGGATAATGATCCATAGGGTATCATCTGAAGATAATGAACCTCGGTTTTCATTCCTAGATAATCTACCACGGTCGACGAGAATTTCAGACCCACCCTCGGCACCCTTGTTGGAGACCCTTGTTGGAGGCCACGTTGCCGCCGGAAGACTCTTCTGCCCTGTCGCGTGCTCTGTGCAACTCGGTTCTGCCTGTATACACTGAAGAGCCATGCCAAGAAGCACCCTGCTTGCCTCCAGGGTGCCCTGTTTTTTTTTTTGGGGGGGGGGGTCGATGGTTTTGCGGTGGAAAGCGTGGCGTTCCCTCACCAAAAATCCATGGACGCCCTGGGGTCTCAGGGTTGGGGTTTCCTGTGGATGGTTTTTTCTTGTGGTCGGGGCCCCACTGTATATTCTCAAGGACGGGCCACAACGCTGTTTAGCTTGGTTTGGGCTATTGTTGTGCTTTTTGTTTCGCTTTTCGTTGTTGTTTCGTTTCGTTGTTCGTTGTTGTTTTGAACGCCCCGTTTCGAGCGGGTGGAGTCTCCCCCCAGAGGCAGCACTTTTGCAAACAGTCGCACTAAGGAGAGGTCTGCAACCAGACCTCCTCCCCTCCCTTCCTCTTCCCGCCCACTGTCGAAACGCCGAATAAAAAAAGCTCACCACCGGCGCCAAGAAGCCTAGTCGTCTTTGTCTTCTGTCCGCTCCCTCACACTGATTGGAGGGCACCCCTCTAAGTACGGACCCCTCGGCCGCTGAAAGCGAGGCCGCAGCAGAGAGATCAGAGCGGCATCACCCACCAGCTCGTGCCTCGCGGTCTGAGTTGGAGAGCTGTCCTTATCCACGGTGGCTGCCCGAGGGCGCGCAGGTAGATACAGTCGCGCTTTTCCGCGGGGCGCGCGGCGCGAGGCGCGACGTCGGGAGACCCGGGCCGGTGGGACCTGGACACTTCTGGGGGACCTCCCAGAGGGGGCTCATTTCGATTCCTTGGATTCGATTCGATTCGGCTTCGATGGCTTCCGATTCCGATTCGATTGGACTTCGGATTCCGATGTGGGTTCCGATTCCTCATTGGACGCATGTTAGCCTGCCGATTTCAGCCGATTCGGCTTTTCCCGACTCAGCTTCCGATTTCTTCCGGTCCGATCCATTTCGATCGCCGATCCGACTTGTCGATTCGATTCTGGGCTCTCCTGAGTGGTGGACCAGGGGTGCGTTCGAGGCCTCTCAGGGGCTTCACGATTGCGTCGTTGGGCTTGACATTGTGCCGGTGTGTCCGCTCCCGGTCCTCTCCTCCAAGTGGCGCTGGACAAAAAAAACACGACACATGATATCTCGCCAGATTTCATGGCCCCTTTTTTTCTTCCAACGAACTCTGGTCCCCCCCCCCTCGTCTGCGCTCATGCCTCGGACTGTGATTTACGAAACCCTACTGTTGGACATGTCGGAGGGTGTCCGTGTATAGTCGGCCCTGATTAGCAGGTCGGCCCTGCCAGATCCAGGGTGCTGCTGTGTCCTCTGCATCGCGCGTGTGTCCTCTGCAGTCCTGGGACACGGTACCCTCAGGATGGGCCTCAAACAGATATAACCTGGGTTCATAATGTGCTGGGATTACTGACCAGGGTTCATAATGTCTCGCCCCAAACATTATGAACCTGGGCTGCAATGTTCTGGGAAATTTGACTGGGGTTAATCATGTTCCCCCGGGAACATTATAAACCCTGGTTTATAATGTTCTGCGGATATCGACCCCAAAAACATATTACCTTGGGTTCATAATGTCCCGGGCATAGTGACTGGGGGTTGTAATGCCCTGGGAATAATGAACCCGGTTCTCCTACTTCCGGACTGATGGTAATTATTATTTTCCCCTAGCCCCAGGGTTCACCACCAGGTTTTTCATGTCGCAATATGGACCCCGGTTTATTATCTCCAGGAGATGATGCCGGATTCGTAATGTTTCCGGAATATTGACTCCGTTACTCTGAAATGATAATGATTGGGGCTGGGGGGCGCCGTTTGAGAGTACGTTCCGGACTGAAATGAACCCTGGTTTATAATGTTGGGATATTAAGCTTACGGTGATTATTCCGTAAAGAATGATTCGGCGGGAGGGGGGCCGAGCCCGATCCATTCACAGGATAATGATCTATAGGGTATCATCTGAAGATAATGAACCTCGGTTTTCATTCCTAGATAATAAACCACGGTCGACGAGAATTTCAGACCCACCCTCGGTACCCTTGTTGGAGGCCATGTTGCCGCCGGAAGACTCGTCTGCCCTGTCGCGTGCTCTGTGCAAATCGGTTCTGCTTGTATACACTGGAGGCCCATGCCAAGAAGCGACCTGCTTGCCTCCAGGGTGCCCTGTTTTTTTTTTTTTTTGGGGGGGGGGGGGGCGATGGTTTTGCGATGGAAAGCGTGGCGTTCCCTCACCAAAAATCCATGGACGCCCTGGGGTCTCAGGGTTGGGGTTTCCTGTGGATGGTTTTTTCTTGTGGTCGGGGCCCCACTGTATATTCTCAAGGACCAGCCACAACGCTGTTGAGCTTGGTTTGGGCCATTGTTGTGCTTTTCGTTCCGTTTTTACTTGTTGTTTCGTTTCGTTGTTTGTTTGTTTGTTGTTGTTGTTGTTGTTGTTGTTGTTGTTGTTGATGCTGTTGTTGTTGCTGCTGTTGCTGTTGCTGTTGATGCTGTTGCTGTTGCTGTTGCTATTGATGTTGCTGTTGCTGTTGCTGTTGTTGTTGCTGTTGCTGTTGTTGTTGTTGTTGTTGTTGTTGTTGTTGTTGTGGTTGTGGTTGTGGTTGTGGTTGTGGTTGTGGTTGTGGTTGTTGTTGTTGTTGTTGTTGTTGTTGTTGTTGTTGTTTTGAACGCCCCGTTTCGCCGTTCGTTTCCGTTTTGCGCCGGCTCCGTTCAAACGTTCGTTCTGAGCGGTGGGCCTCGTTGCGCTGTTCGTTGCAAACGACATTTCGTTTCGAGCCTCGTTGTGGTCGGTCCTCGTTTGTGTACTCTCGTGGCGCAGCGGCCGCAGGAGGTGGCGGCGGCGCCGGACTTCGTGCGGGAGCTCCTCGGCAGGGCGCGGGCCCAGGGCGGCGTCGCGTGGGAGGGCCTGCGCGCCTCCGGGCTGGGCGCCCTGCGGCTGGAGGCGCCGGCGGGGGCCCGCCGGGTGGGGAGGGGCCAGGGATCGGCGGCTGCAGCAGGGGCTGAACTCCAAGTCGGGCGTGTCCCTCTACAGGAGGAAGACGTAAAAATGGTGAACATAATAGTCAGGGAACGATTTTTTTCTTAGTGTTTTTCATTATTTTGACATGTTTTAGGGGATTTTTTTAGTCTTCGTCCAAAATCCGCCCGTAGGGGGACACGCCCGACGTAAACTTACTGTAGCCGTGATCCTTGATCACCAGAAAAGTGTCGAGCACCAGAAAAGTGCCGAAGTTCGAGGGTTTTCACGTGTCGGGCCCTGGGAGACACTCGTCCGACACTGTTTCGACACGGTGTCGACACTCTTCCGGGTGCTCGAAATGATTTTTGGGATGTGGTCCTTAAGTACGATGGGGGCAACAGAAGGCTGGGAATCGGCGGCTGCAGCAGGGGCTTAACTAGGGGTATTGGAAGGAAGACTGGCATAAACATAACAACTCGGAGGGCCGCGCGGATTTCTCGGATCGGCGATGGACCCCCCTCCCTGGCGCGCGGAGCGCGCCAGGGGCGGCGCACTAGGCCCCAACCAGACTGCAAAAAAAAAGCTGCAGTGCAAAAAACAGCGGCAATGCACAAACATACAATGCACGACGATTTTCAGTCGTAGTGGTTGACGCTGCCTCCCTGGACCTCCCCTAAACCACTCTCGCCCGAATCCTAAGCTGAAGCTACAGTGCTAGGCTCCAAACAGTCGAACCAGACCAGCCAGACGGGATGCAACACAAAAACTGCGATGCAACAAAACACTGCAATCCAAAACAACTTGTTCTTCGGCCGTAGTGGTTGGCGCTGCCTCTCTGGACTTCCCCGAAACCAATTTCGCCCGAATCCTAAGCTACCGCTACAGTGCTAGGCTCCAACCAGACAATACAACAACTGCAATCCTGCAACCAAAATGGTTATTCGGTCGTAGTGGTTGGCGCTGCCTCCCTGGACCTCCCCTAAGCCACTCTCGCCCGAACCCTAAGCTAAAGGTTCACCACTAGGCCCCAAACAAACCAACCAGCCCAGCCAGACCACACGCAAAAAACTGCAATGCAAAACACAACAACTGTTTTTCGGCCGTAGTGGTTGGCACTGCCTCCCTGGACCTCCCCTAAACCACTCTCGCCCGAATCCTAATCTAAAGCTTCAGCACTAGGCCCCAGACAGACCAACCAGACCAGCCAGACCAGATGCAAAACAACTGCAATGCAATAAACAACTCCAATGCAAACAACAACGGTTTTTCGGTCGTAGTGGTTGACACTGCCTCCCTGGAGTTCCCTAAGCCACCCTCTCCCGAATCCTAAGCTAAAGCGTCAGCACTAAGCTCAACCAGACCAACTGGACCAGCCAGGCCAGATCTGAAGCTTCAAGCTTGAGGCTGAAGCTTAAAGCTTGCTCAGCTTGCTCTTTTGAAGCTTGGCGACCCGCCGTGCGCTACAACGGCTAAGAACTTGATTGGGTTTACATCGGCTTTAAGTATGCCGTGTGCGGACCGGATATGATTCGATATACCCGTTTTCCGCGTAGTTTGTCCTAATCGTGCCCGCGCCGTACACCCAGGAGTTGGCACTTGGTTCCTCCTCCCGTCTTACCCGTTGTCCAACCTCGTTCCACCCCATTTAGTCCTTTGTGTTATACAGGGGCGAACGTAGCGTTCGCGGGCATGCATTCATGTGTGCTTCGAATGCGCATCGCGTGAGCGTTTGTACCACGAAGCCGAACTCGCGGACTTGGGGACCGTTTTTTGGCCTGTGATTGGGCGCGCACGTACATGTTGGCTCCCTAGGAAAAGGGGGGATGATCTTCTGCTACTCCACCCTGGGCACCGTTCCACCAGTCACTGCTGCACCTCTGCAGCGACTGTTTGCTATCTGGCACGCAGCACTGGCGCCGCAGCTTAGGTCCACGCCGTAACCACCCTCGGCAACATCGCTTGCGCGCCACCTCTGGCCTCCAAGAGCACTGGACTGCTCGGCGAAAGATGTCGGCGAAACACACAGCCAGGCGAAGGATCCAACAACATGCATGCAGTTGTGAGGTTCGCAGTGGTGAGTATCTTCCTCGCTGGAGCTCCCAATGGGGCCACGAAGCGTATGAGAGGTGTGCCGAGATGGACAGATGTTGGGGGGTCAGTCGCATGCAAACCCTGCCACTTGGGCCGTCGGTGGAGCTGCCTATGAGGGCACGAATCGTGCGAGGGGTGTGCCCAGCCGCATGCGAACACTGCCACTGGGGCTTTCGGTGACGCTCCCCATGGGGCCACGACGCGTGAGAGGGGTGCGCCGACATGGACATGCGGTGGGCGGGGAGTCGCATGCGAATCCAGCCTCCAGGGCCTTCGGTGAAGCTCCTGATGGGGCCACGTGTGAGGGGTGTGCCTAATTCGACATGCGGTGGGCGGGAAGACGCATGCGAACCTTGCCATGGCCGTCGGTGGAGCTCCTTATGGGGCCACGAATCTTGTGAGGGGTTTGCAGACATGGACATGCGGTGGGCGGGGAGCCGCATGCGAATCCAGCCCCTGGGGCCTTCGGTGGAGCTCCCCATGGGGTCGCGAAACGTGTGAGCGGTGTGCCGACATGGACATGCGGTGGGCGGGGTGCCGCATGCGAATCCAGCCACTGGGGCCTTCGGTGAAGTTCCTGATGGGGCCACGTGTGAGCGGTGTGCCGAATGGACATGCGGTGGGCGGTGGAGCTTCGTATGGGGTCACGAATCGCGTGAGGGGTGCTGTGGGATGGAGATACGGTGGGTGGGGAGGCGCATGCAAATCCTGCCAATAGGGCCGTCGGCTGAGCTCCGTGTGGGGCCACGACACGTGTGAGGGGTGTGCTGACAGTGACATGCGGTGGGCGGGGAGCTGCATGCGACCCCTGCCTCTGGGGCCTTTTGTGGAGCTCCTGATAGGGCCACGAAACGTGTGAGCGGTGTGCCGACATGGACATGCGGTGGGCGGGGAGCCGCATGCGAATCTTGCCACCATGGCTTTCAGTGGATCTCCTTATGGGGCCACGAAGCGTGAGAGGGGTGCGCCGACATAGACATGCGATGGGCGTGGAGCCGCATGTGAATCCTGCCTCGAGGGCTTTCGATGAAGCTCCTGATGGGGCCACGTGTGAGGGGTGTACCGACATGGACATGCGGTGGGCGGGGAGCCGCATGCGACCCCTGCCACTGGGGCCTTCGGTGGAGCTCCCCATGGGGTCGCGAAACGTGTGGGCGGTGTGCCGACATGAACATGCGGTGGGCGGGGAGCCGCATGCGAATGGACATGCGGTTGGCGTGAAGCCGTATGCGAATCCTGTCTCTAGGGCCTTCGGTGAAGCTCCTGATGGGGCCACGTGTGAGGGGTGTGCCGACATGGACATGCGGTGGGCGGTGGAGCTTCGTATGGGGTCACGAATCGCGTGAGGGGTGCTGTGGGATGGAGATACGGTGGGTGGGGAGGCGCATGCAAATCCTGCCACTGGGGCCGTCGGCTGAGCTCCGTGTGGGGCCACGACACGTGTGAGGGGTGTGCTGACAGTGACATGAAGTGGGCGGGGAGCCGCATGCGAATCTTGCCACCAGGGCTTTCAGTGGATCTCCTTATGGGGCCACTAAACGTGTGAGAGGTGTGCCGAAATGCACATGCGGTGGGCCAGTTGCCGCATGCGAATCCTGTCACTGGTTCCTTCGGTTGATCTCCTTATGGGGCCACGACACTTGTGAGGGGTGTGCCGACATGGACATGTGGGCGGGGAGCCGCATGCGAATCCTGCCATTGGTTCCGTCGGTGGAACTCCCTGTGGGGGCACGAAGCGTGTGAAAGGTATGCCGACATGGACATGCGGTAGATGCGGAGGGTGGGAAGCCGCATGCGAACCCTGCCATTGGGGCCTTCGGTGGAGCTCCCCATGGGGCCGCGAAACGTGTGGGCGGTGTGCCGACATGAACATGCGGTGGGCGGGGAGCCGCATGCGAATGGACATGCGGTTGGCGTGAAGCCGTATGCGAATCCTGTCTCTAGGGCCTTCGGTGAAGCTCCTGATGGGGCCACGTGTGAGGGGTGTGCCGACATGGACATGCGGTGGGCGGTGAAGCTTCGTATGGGGTCACGAATCGCGTGAGGGGTGCTGTGGGATGGAGATACGGTGGGTGGGGAGGCGCATGCAAATCCTGCCACTGGGGCCGTCGGCTGAGCTCCGTGTGGGGCCACGACACGTGTGAGGGGTGTGCTGACAGTGACATGAAGTGGGCGGGGAGCCGCATGCGAATCTTGCCACCAGGGCTTTCAGTGGATCTCCTTATGGGGCCACTAAACGTGTGAGAGGTGTGCCGAAATGCACATGCGGTGGGCCAGTTGCCGCATGCGAATCCTGTCACTGGTTCCTTCGGTTGATCTCCTTATGGGGCCACGACACTTGTGAGGGGTGTGCCGACATGGACATGTGGGCGGGGAGCCGCATGCGAATCCTGCCATTGGTTCCGTCGGTGGAACTCCCTGTGGGGGCACGAAGCGTGTGAAAGGTATGCCGACATGGACATGCGGTAGATGCGGAGGGTGGGAAGCCGCATGCGAACCCTGCCATTGGGGCCTTCGGTGGAGCTCCCCATGGGGCCGCGAAACGTGTGAGCGGTGTGCCGACATGGACATGCGGTGGGCGGGGAGCCGCATGCGAAGCCTGCCACTGGGGTCTTCGGTTGAGCTCTTTCTCGGGCCACGAATTTTGTGAGTGGTGTGCCGACATGGACTTGCGGTGTGCGGAAAGCAGCGTGCGAACCTTGCCATTGGGGCCTTCGGTGGAGCTCCTTGTGGGGGCACGAATCGTGTGAAGCGTGTGCCGAAATGGACATGCGGTGGGCGGAGGGGCCTTCTGCGAACCCTGCCACTGGGGCCTTCGGTGTAGCTCCCTGTGGGGCCACGACACGTATGAGGGGTGTGCCGACATGGACATGCGGTGGGCGGGGAGACGCATGCGACCCCTGCCATTGGGGCCTACGGTGGAGCTCCTCATGGGGCCACGAAACGTGTAAGGGCTGCGCCAGACCAGGAGAAGAGAGGAGAGAGAGGAGGGAGGGGGGAGGAGTGCGGAGGGAGGAGGGAGAGGGAGGAGGGAGAAGGGAGAGGGAGAAGGAGGAGGGAGGGGAGGGAGGAGGGAGGAGGGAGGAGGGAGGAGGGGGGGGGGCGAGAGGGAGGCAAGAGGTGCGACGCGGGGGGGCTGTTGACTTAAAACAAGGACCCAATACCACGTGCTGATTGGGAACAAGGTCATACACATCAAAGTTTCTGAGTTCCGCGTGCTTTTTGTTTGTTCTGCGTTGGGACTCCCTGGCGGCGCGTCCGGCGCCGCCTCTGGCGCGCTCCGCCAAGACATCCGCGCGGACCTGTGAACGTTGAGATTCTGATAGTGTTTTTCGTGATTTTTGTGTGTGTGCCAGCCATTCTGCGGTGTGGTGTGTGTGTGTGTGTGTGTGTGTGTGTATGTGTGTGTGTGTGTGTGCGTGTGTGTGTGTGTGTGTGTGTGTGTGTGTGTGTGGGGTTCTCGCTTTGAAGAGACGCTCCCCCCCCGTTCCTCACTCACTCTTCCTTCCTCCTCACCCTCCTCCCTTGTCTCATCCCTTCATCTGTCCTCCGCATGTCAATCATTATGGCGCACCCGTCCCCAGCTGGTGGCCCTAAAAACGGCTCTACCGAAGGCCCCAGAGGCAGGGTTCGCATGCGGCTCCCCACCCACCGCATGTCCATTTTGGCACACCGCTCGCACGATTCGTGGCCCCACAGGGAGCTCAACCGAAGGCCCCAGTGGCAGGGCTCGCATGCGGCTCCTCGCCCACTTCCGGCACACCCCTCACACGGTTCGTGGTCTCATATGGAGCTCCATTGAAGGCCCCAGTGGCAGGATTCACATGTGGCTCCCCGCCCACCGCGTGCCCACTTCGGCACACCCCTCACGCGATTCGTGGCTCCAGAGGGAGCTGCACCGAGGACGATACTCAAAACTGCCTTACTCTCAACTGCACATGGTTGGGCCCTCCTTTTCTCGAACACGGCCGCTCGCTTGCTCGCTCCACCACTCCACCACGCAGCACGCGGTGGCCGCCTCGACGGGTGCCTGGACGGGGAGGCAGACCCCGTGGCGGAGCCGAGCTGTCCAGAGCCGAGCGTCCCAGCCAGCACCGCCGGGCCCCGGGCAGGGCGGCGCGGAGACCGAGCGGGCCGCCGAGTCCAACGCCGCCGCCGAGCCGGAGGCGCTCTCCAACGCCGCCGCGGGCGAAGCGTGGACGCCCTCCCCCGCCACCCTCGCCGCGGCCGAGGCCGCCGCCGCGCCCTCGGCGCCCCCCGCGCCCTCGCGGGCGGTGCAGGTTGGGCGTTGCGTAATGGAGGGGTCATAAATGGGGGGGGGTCGCGGATGGTCCGAAAAGGTACCCAAACGGTACCTAAACGAGCCTCCCTGGGGCTCCAGAGGGGCCCGAAAGGGGCACGAAAGGGGACCCCTTCTGACCCCCCCATTGTTGACCCCCCCACTAAGCCACGCCCAAGCAGGCTGGTGGATCGCCCGCCGCCCCCTTCGGCCATGGCCCGTTGGCCACCCCGAGGGCCAGGTCGGGCAGGCCTGGGGGCGGGGGAGCTTGCTCCATACACCTTAGGCGATGCTTAAGAAAACTTAAATTTTCGGCCAGGGTCTCGATTATTCTTAATGTTTCAACGTAAATCCTAAGATGTTAATAGAAATTTTGGGTTTTTAGTCAAGTTCTGAGACTATGAATTTCTTAATCCATGATTTCTTAAGCATTTCGCAAGGTGTACAGTGGGCGCCCGTGCCAAGAAACGCCCTGCTTGCCTCCGGGTTGCCCCGGGCTTCCTCCTGGATTCCGATGGTTTTGTTAGGGAGCGCGCGACGTTCCCACACATCGAAGATCGAGGGGCGTCCTGGGGGCTCAGGGCTGGGTTTCTTGTGGAAGGTTTCTTCTTGAGGACTGGCCTCCGCTGTAGCGTTCTGGCACGCTCTCAGAACGCTCCGGAACGCTCTGAGAAGGCCGTGGCGCCCGATGCACCCCTCGCCTCCTCTACGCCTCCAGAGCTCCCGACTCCGTCCTGAGATGTTCGTTATCGGGGGCTTCCCTGGGGGCCGTTTAGTGGAGGTCTTCGAATCTACTTCGACGCTAGTCCGATTCTAGCTCGACGCAAGTTGAATTCAATTTCGGCTCGAGTTCGACTCAAGTCGACGGATTTTTTACGCAGCATCGACGCACGAGTGGCGCGAATACGGTCGGACCGAGGTATACGGTCGAGGTCGGTTCGGGGAGGATACCCTAATGTTTTTCGTGTTTGTTGGGTTCTCCTTGTGCATCCTGGGGGAGGGCATCCCCGACTGTTCTACAGTTTGGCTAGGGCCTCAAGCTCTTGGAGGGTGCCCTTCTGTTCAAGGTCCGACTGTAAGTCCAGGAAGGCCCCCCCCCCCTCAGCGAGCAGCTCTGACCATCCCCGGGGCCGGCTTCTAGTCTTTGGCTTCCAGGGCCCAGAGAGAAGTCCCTCCCCTCGAGAACGGGGGATTGTGGAGTCCCTGTGGTTCCAAAGCGCGCGCGCGAGGCTTTCGCGCTGAGTTCGCGACTGTTTCTGTGCAAACTCTGCTCTGTGTCGTCCTCCTCCTCCCTCCTCCTCCGCCTCCTCCTCCTCCTCCTCCTCCTCCTCCTCCTCCCTCTCCCCCTCCTTCTACCTCTCTTTTTTTTTTTTTTTTTTTATTTCTCCAGGCGCCCCCCCCCCAAGAAAAAAAAGGTTTTCTTTGTTGTTGTTTGTTTTTTTTTTCTGGGGGGGGGGACGCCAGGAGAAAAAACAGGAATGCGACGTGGCCTCATCTGCCCTCCCCCCTAGAAGGACTCCGATTGAACGCCCCCATAAGAAGGATTCACGTTGAAATCCATGACAGAAGGGTTCCTATGGAAACCCTCTACTGAATGATTCCTACTGAAATCCTCCACATGTGGATTCCCACTGAAACCCTCCACTGAATGATTCCTACTGAAATCCTCGAATGGCAACGGCAATGGCAATGGCGATGGTAATGGTAATGACAGTGGTAATGGTAATGGTACTGGTAATGGTTACGGTAATGATAGTGGTAACGGGGTAGCGAGGCAATGACAATGGCAATGGCAATGGTAATGGTAATGGTAATGGCAATGGCAATGGCAATGGGAATGGCAATGGCAATGGCAATGACAATGGTAATGACCATGGCAATGGTAATGGTAATTGTAAGGGTAAAGGTAAAGGTAGAGGTAAAGGTACTGGTAATGGTAATGGTAATGGCAATGGCAGTGGTAATGGTAATGGTAATGGTAATGGGAATGGGAGTGAGAATGGGAACGGGAATGGAAATGATAGTGGTAGTGGTAATAGTAATGGCACTGGTAATGGTAATGCTAATGGTAATGGAAATGGTAATGGTATTGGGAATGGGAATGGGAATGACAATGGGAATTCTAATGGTAATGGCAGCGGTAATGGTAATGGTAATGGTAATTGTAATGGCACTGGTAATGGGAATGGGAATGGAAATAGTATTGGCAATGGTAGTGGCGAATGGCAATGGCAATGGCAATGGCAATAGTAATGGTAATGGTAATGACAGAGGTAATGGTAATGGTACTGTCAATGGTAATGGTAACGGTAATGGTAATGTTAACGGGGTAGCGATTGGCAATGGCAATGACAAGGACATTGGCACCGGTAATGGTAATGGCAAGGGCAATGGGATTGGCAATGGCAATGGCAATGATAATGGCCATGGCAATGGCAACGGCAATGGTAAGTGTAATGGTAATGGCAATGGTAGTGGGAATGGGAACGGGAATGGGAATGTGAATGGGAATGAGAATGGGAACGGGAACGGGAATGGGAGTGGTAGTGGTAGTGGTAACGGACATGGGAATGATAAGGGTAAGGGTAAAGGTAAAGGTAGAGGTAAAGGTAATGTCAATGGTAATGGTAATGGAAATGAGAATGGTAATGGTAATGGTAATGGTCATGGGAATGGGAATGGCAATGGAAATGGTACTGGCAATGGTAATGGTAGTGGCTAATGGCAATGGCAATGGCAATTGCAATGGTAATGGTAATGACAGAGGTAATGGTAATGGTACTGGTAATGGTAATGGTAATGATAGTGGTAACGGGGTAGCGACTGGCAATGGCAATGACAATGGCACTGGTAATGGTAATGGCAATGGGAATGGCAATGGCAATGGTAATGGTAATGGCCATGGCAATGGCAATGGCAATGGTAGTGGTAATGGTAATGTGAACGGGAATGGGAACGGGAAGGGAAATGTGAATGGGAATGGGAATGGGAATGGGAACGGGACTGGAAATGGCAGTGGTCGTGGTAACGGAAATGGGAATGGTAAGGGTAAGGGTAAAGGTAAAGGTAGAGGTAAAGGTAATGGTAATGGTAATAGCAATGGCAATGGCAGTGGTAATGGTAATGGTAATGGTTTTGGGAATGGGAATGTGAATCGGAATGGTAATGGTACTGGCAATGGTAATGGTAGTGGCAAATGGCAATGACAATGGCAATGGTAATGGTAATGGCAGTGCCGAATGGCAATGGTAATGGTAGTGGCGAATGGCAGTGGCAATGACAATGGTAATGGTAATGGCAATGACAGTGCTAATGGTAATGGTACTGGGAATGGTACTGGTGACGGTAATGGTAATGGTTATGGCAACGGTAACGGGGTAGCGATTGGCAATGGCAATGACAATGGCGATGGCAACGGTAGTGGTAATGGCAGCGGTAATGGTAATGGTAATGGTAATGGCAATGGCAATGGCAATGGGAATGGCAATGGCAATGGCAATGACAATGGTAATGACCATGGTCATAGTAATGGTAATGGTAATGGCAATGGGGATGGGAGTGGGAATGGGAATGGGAATCGTAGTGGTAATTGGAACGGGAATGGAAATGAGAGTGGTAGTGGTAATGATAATGGCAATGGTAATGGTAATGGTGATGGAAATGGTTCTGGTAACGGTAATGGTAATGGCAATGGTGATGGGAATGGGAATTGTAATGGTAATGGCAATGGCAATGGTAATGGTATTGGTAATGGTAATGGCAGCGGTAATGGTAATGGTGATGGTGTTGGTAATGCTAATGGTAATGGCACTGGTAATGGTAGTGGCTAATGGTAATGGGAATGGCAATGGCAATGGTAATGACAGTGGTCATGGTAATGGTACTGGTAATGGTAATGGTAATAGTAATTGTAATGGTAATGGTAACGGGGTGGCGACTGGCAATGGCAATACAATGGCAATGGCAACGGCACTGGTAATGGGAATTGCAATGGCAATGGCAATGGGAATGGCAACGGCAATGACAATGGCAATTGTAATTGCCATGGTAATGGTAATGGTAAAGGTAAAGGTAAAGATAAAGGTACAGGTAATGGTAATGGTAGTGGTCATGTGAATGGGAATGTGGATGGGAATGGTAATGGTAATGGTAATGGTAATGGTATTGGGAATTGGAATGGGAATGGGAGTGGGAGAGTTTGAGAGAGAGTCAGAGAGAGAGAGAGAGAGAAAAAAAAAAAGCGAGAGAGGAAATATCATAATAATGATGAGGAGCAACGTGACATATCGTAAAACATCGTCTGAAACCCACAGGGACTCCACAGTCCCCCGGCCTCCGAGACCTCCCCCCCCCCCACCTCTTGAGGACAAGCCTCCGTCGCGCTCTCTGCCGCGCCGCCCGAAGGCCCGCTCTGCCCCTGCTCACCCGAAGGGCCACAGGCTGCGCCAGACGCCCCGCCCCCGGGGGAGTCCCCGCAGAGCCTCCGCCGCCACCCCCGGGGGCGCCGCTGCGGCTACGCTGGCGAGGCGGCTCCGGCCGTGGCGACGAGGCCGCCCTCGGGGGGGGGGGCCACCTCCCCTGACCTTCCAGAGAGCTATTTTTTAGCACTGGAGGCCTAAAAACCTAACAAAATAAGCGAAACAGCCTAAAACCAAGACGTAGAATAGCTCTAGGATAGGTTTTTAGGTCGGGTGCTATTTTTTAGCCCTCCTGGAAGGTCAGGGTCGGACGGAGCCAGGAGGAGGGAGCCCAGGGCTCGGGTCCAGGAGGCCCAGGACTCGGGTCGGTCGGACGAGGGGGTGGCATCAGGAAAGGGGGGGGAGGGGCAGGCTGCGGCGCGAGGGCGAGGATCCAGTCCGCTCCGGAGCGTTCCGGAGCGCTCTGAAGAGCGTTCCCGAACGCTCTGAGAAGACCGCGGCGGATCTCAGAGATTCTAGATTTATCCCTACCCGGTTTTATCCTCGTCTTGGCCTTGTCTTACCACAGTCGGCGTTGCCCCAACATCCTAATACTATGTGTGCGTCGCCCCCCCTGGGGCTCTCTGGCAGGCCGCTCTCTGGCCGGCGGCTCGGGCAACGATTCACTTCAAGATAATTAAGTTCGTGTCGGACGCGCGCATCCAAGGACATACAGTGGAGACCCATGCCAAGAGACACCCTGCTTGCCAGGGTGCCCTGGGCTTCTTGGGTGCCGATGGTCTTGTGAAGGAAAGCGTGACGTTCCCGCACCAAATACCAATGGGCGTCCTGGGGTCTCGGGGTCGGGTTTCTTGTGGAAGGTTCCCTGTGGGCTGGCCTCCACTGTACACCTTAGGCGATGCTTAAGAAAACCTAAGTTTTCGTCCTGAGTCTCGATTATTCTTAACTTTTCAATGTGAATTCCAAGATTTTGATAGAAGTTCTGGGTTTTATTCACTGTCTGAGACTATGAATTTCTTAACCCATGATTTCTTAAGCATTTCGCAGGGTGTACAGTACTGGTATGATCCTTTTGCGTCCCCAGCAGGCCTCCCAGAGCGTCTCTGCAGGGGCCACGCCGAGGGGGGGCACGGGCTCCGCGCGAGGGCCGCCACGACCGCCCGTGGCCCGCGGGTCGCCTCTTAGCAGGGCCCGAGGAAGCACGCCCCGCCCGGGAGGGTGCGGTGATCGCATCGCTGTGGGGGGCCCCTCGTCGAGGGATCGGCGGTGTCGTCTCGCCGATTCCAGCCTGATGCTCAGAAGAGAAAAAGGTACCCATACCCCTACCTTTCGCCCGTTTTCCCCTTTTGGGGCCTCCTGGGAGGCAGTCGTCGCCACCGCTGCATTCGCCACGCAATTCTGGTCAGAACGCACCCCAGGAGAGGTCCAGGGAGTAGCGGTATGGGTACCTTTTGGTTTCCCCAGATGCGTCCCCCCTGAGCCGCCCCCCCCCCTCCCCTCGCTATGGGGGGCCTCTCGTCGATCGATGAGCCGCTCCCCCCCCCCGCAGTCGCTGTGCGTCGATCGATCGGCGGTGTCGTCTCGCCGATTCCAGCTTGATGCTTCCCTCCTGAGCCGCCCCCCCCCCCACCCCCCCCTTTGGTTTGGCGTTGGAATGAGCTGGCTGCGCGCACTGGGGGGTAATGGGGGAGGGGGGAAGGCCTCTCAGAAGGAGGCCGCTTCTTAGAAAGCGCCAGCCCCACAGCTACAGGCAAGGCTCGCGCCTTCTAAGAAGCAGGGGTTCTTTCTGAGAAGCCTTCCCCCCTCCCCCGTACCGCATTGTGCGCGCCGCCGAATGAGAACGTGCAGCATCGATGTCCAAAAAGCACGCCCTTTTCCTGTCAGGCGATGCCCCCGCGAGGACCCCCTCTGTACATGCCATCCCTCTGCCAGTGTTTTTTTTCGGTGCACGCCATCCCCAAGGCCGCCATCAGGCGGAGGAGGAGGAGGAGGAGGAGGAGGAGGAGGAGGAGGAGGAGGAGGATGAAATAGGGGAAAGGAGGAGGAGGCGGAGGAGGATGAGGAGAAGGAGGAGAAGGAAGAGGAGGAGGAGGTGGAGGAGGGAGGAGAAGGAGGAGGAGAGGGAGGGGGAGGGGGAGGATGTATAGCGTCATCAGCTGGCCGCCGGCGCCAAGCCGCACGCTGCCTTCACAGTGCTGACCGTAGGTGGAGGGTCCTTGGTCTCGGGTGAGGAACGCGCATCGACTCCTCCTCCTCCTCCTCCTCCTCCTCCTCCTCCTCCTCCTCACCAGATCTCCAGATCCTCTTCGGGCAAACTGGTTGGAGAGCACGGTCGAGGCAGGTGCGGGGCTTGAGCGCTGCGAACACGGGTTGGCCAGAGAGGGAGAGCTCGAGGCAGATCAGTCCCCCCCCCCTCCTGAGCCACGATCCCGCCCGTCCGCGCCTGCAGCGCCGGCCGTAGCGTTCCCCCTCGCCTCGCAGCGTCGCCAAGAGATCACCGCCCACCAAACCACCCCAACCCAACCCGAAGGCCCCAATTTGCCCTCCATTTCCAGTTGGGGGGGGTCGGGGAACATCGAAAAAACGCGTATGGAACCCATACCCCCCCCAACCCGAAATCCGGGTCTTCGGGTTGGGTTGGGGTGGTCTGGTAGGTAGTCAAGAGAAAAGGCCCCGGCCTGGCACTCGGGCGGCCAGCGCGGGCCATGGGCCCTTCGGCCCCGCGGCGCCCCCGACGGCCACTGCCGCGGCGCCCCCGCCGCCCGCCGAGAGCGGGCCGCCCGTGCCGACGCAGCAGGGCCCCTTCGCCCCGCCGCCGCGCGCCGACGCCAGGCTCGCGGGCGGCGTCGGGGGGGCGAGGCGTCCAGCGAGGAGGAGGAGGAGGAGGAGGAGGAGGAGGAGGAGGAGGAGGAGGAGGAGGAGGAGGAGGAGGGGGAGGAGGAGGAGGAGGAGGAGGAGGAGGAGGAGGAGGAGGAGGAGGAGGAGGAGGAGGAGGAGGAGGAGGAGGAGGGGGAGGAGGAGGAGGAGGGGGAGGGGGAGGAGGAGGTACCCCCCATGCCGCCATCCTTTCTTCCTTTTTTGGCTTTTTAGGGAGCTTCTTTGGAGTGGCCCTCGTCGCCACCGCCAGGTTCGCCTCGGAGTTCTGCTCGGAACGCGCCCCGGGAGAGGTTCGGGGAGCAGCGATATCGGTGCCTTCGTGCTTTCCCACTTCGACCGAGGGGGGAAGGCATCGACCCCCAATCGCCCATTCATCGTCGACAGGGGCCCGATAGCCCCACCGCGCCCAGGACCGCGCGGGTGCGCCATCGGGGGCCCATCGCTGTCCTAGCTGCGACGTGTCGCCGAGTCCAGCTCGATGCTTCCCCCCTGAGCCAGTCTCCACCTGTCGTTCCCCCTCAGTCCCCCCCGTGCCGCACGTCCCCCACGCTTTGCTGAACAGAGGGCCTACATCGCCTAAACATCGGCGACGCATCGCCAACTCCAGCTCGATGCTTCCCCCCACCCCCCCGAGCTGGCTCCCCATATCGTTCCCCTGAATCCCCCCCCCGCGCGACCCGACCCCTCACGCTTTTGTAAAACGGGCGCCTGTCGCTGGTACATCGTCGGCGTGTCGCCGACTCCAGCTCGAGGCTTCCCCCCAGAGCCAGTCTCTCCCTGTCGTTCCCCCGCAATCCCCCCCCGTCCCCCCCACGCCCTTGCGAAACCTGGGGCCTACATCGCCCAAACATTGGCGACGATCGTTTCTCACTCCAGCTCGAAGCTCCCCCCCCCGAGTCAGTCCCAGCTGTCATTCCCCCTCAATGCCCCCTCGCCACCCTCCCCCACGCTTTTGCTAGGAGCCTGCTGCCGCTATATCGGCGATGTATCGCTGATGCCACTGGGTGCGGAAATTGAGCAAATCTGGTGAACATGAGTGGACGCGGCGAGAACTTCAATGTGCCTGGCTGGCCATTGGATCCCATGTATCGTGCAAGGCGAAGAGCGGGAAGGCCCAAATTCACTGGGATGGACAACATGTGATGTGTGATTTTCGGCTCAGAGGGATGTGTCGACATGGATGTTGCAGAACTTTTGAACACTGCGTCGGCGAAGTATTGGGATACAACCAAACCAGAGTTTGCAACGCATCACAAATCACAAATGAGCGGACCGCACGGCCTGTTCAGAATTCTTCACGCTTCGCGTATCCCCACCAGCCCATCTCAAAACAGCAACTCTTGCGAAGCATGCCGACAGTCGTGTTTTTCAGGCGTGTTTCCGCCTGCCCCTGCATATCTCCCCTGTTCCTCCTTCCTCCCGCCTCCTTGTACATCCTCCTTGTGGTGGGAGCGGGAGAAGGACGAGGCGGAGGAGGAGGGAGAGAAAGCGCTCCTCGTGGTTTGAGTCGTTTGGGGTTTCTCGTCCTGGTGTGAGTCGTTCGGGCCCTTCTTCCTGGTGTGAGTCGTTCGGGCTCTTCGTGGTGTGAGTCGTTCTGGCTCTTCGTCCTGGTGTGAGTCGTTCGGGCTTCTCGTGGTGTGAGTTGTTCGGGCCCCTCGTCCTGGTGTGAGTCGTTCGGGCCCCTCCTCCTGGTGTGACTCGTTCGGGCTCCTCGTGGTGTGAGTCGTTCGGGGCCCTCGTCGTGGTGTGAGTCGTTCGGGCTCCTCGTGGTGTGAGTCGTTCGGGCGCCTCGTCCTGGTGTGAGTCGTTCGGGCCCCTCCTTCTGGTGTGAGTCGTTCGGGCTCTTCGTGGTGTGAGTCGTTCGGGCCCCTCGTCCTGGTGTGAGTCGTTCGGGCTCCTCGTGGTGTCTTTTGGGAGCCTCTTGGAGGCCTTTTGGGGCGTCTTGGGGGCCTCTTGGCGGCCCCAGGGGCTTCTAGGAGCGTCTTGGGTGCCTTGGGGGAGCCTCTTCGGGCCTCTTGGGAGCCTCTTGGAGGCCGTTTGGGGCGTCTTGGGGGCCTCTTGGCGGCCCCAGGGGCTTCCAGGAGCGTCTTGGGTGCCTCGGGGGAGCCTCTTGGGGCCTCCCTCTTGGGGGCCTCTTGGGGGCCTCTTGGAGGCCTCTTGGGGCCTCTTGAGGCTCTTTGGGAGGAGTCTGGGAGGTATCTTGGGGCCTACTTTCGGGCGATCGATCAAAGATGGGGGGGGTGTTCTCCCCCCCCCCCGTCGGGGCCAGAATCCTCGTGAGGGGTGTCGTTTTTTAGCCCTCCGAGGAGTCGAAAAAGACCCCTCCAACGACCCGCGGAACGCCCTCTCCAGGCCCAGGGGGAGGGGGTAGGGGGAGGGGTAAACCCCTCCCCGAAGGGGAAGAAGGAGGGTTGAGAACAGAGCGGGCTCTCTAAACCACTCACGCCCAAAGGGCTGGTGGGATTCTAGAAGCGTCGCGTTACCCCACCAGTCCATCCAGAAACGATGCCCAGCGAATTGCCCTGATCAGGTATGTGGAGGACCATGAAATGGAATCATGGGCTGAGGAAGCCGTCATATGTGAACAGGGGGTGATGTAGGAGGAAAGGACGACCACGACGACGAGCAGTGGGAGGTTGCGGGAGAGGAGGAGAAGGAGGATAGAGGATGGAGGAGGAGGAATAGGCGGATGAGGAAGAGGCGAAGGAGGAGGAGGAGAAGGAGGAGGAAGAGGAGGAGGGGGATGAGGAGGAGGAGGAGGAGGAAGCGGGAGGAGGGAGGAGGAGGAGGAGGGAGAAGGAGGAGGAGGAGGAGTAGGAGGAGGAGGAGGAGGAGGAGGAGGAGGAGGAGAGGAGGAGGAGGGGAGGAGGAGGAGGAGGAGGAGGGTGAGGAGAAAGGCTGGACGCCTCTTGAATGCCTCTCGGAGTCTCTGCGAATGTCTCGGGAGCTTCGCGGAGTCCTCTTGGGGCGTGCTGGAGGCCTCTTGGCGGCTCCAGGGGGCCTCTTGGCGTCTGGGGTGCCTCGGGGGAGCCCCTTGGGGTCTCTTGGCGGTCTCTTGGCAGCCTCGTGGGGACCTTTTGGGGGGCCTCTTGGGGCCTTCTGGGCGCCTCTTGGGGCACTCTTGGGAGCCTTGGGGGCCATCTTGGGGCCGTCCTGGACGAGATCGATCAAAGAAGGGCGGGTCGCAGATTGCCCCCCTTGGAGGCCCAAACGGGTGCAATAGCTAAAGTCAATAATTGTTGCCTTCTCGTCGAGGCCGTTTAGGACGCTCCAACGGCCGGGACTTCCCCTCATATGGGTCCAGGGGAAGGGGGCAGGGGGAGTGTTCATGACACCTTCTGCCCACAAGGCAAGGCACAAACCGTTTTGCTTACTCCCACCGGCCCTCCAAGCACTATACGCAGCAACCGAGCATCCTTTTCATAAACCACTGCAAAGTGGTCGCTGGACGCCCGCACATGATCCAGATTTGCAAGCACAGTGTGTTTTGCAATGCACGTTGGCAGGGATTGCTGCCCCTGCGCGATGCAAGCAATATGAGGGTCCTCCCGCCGCCCCCGTCAAAGACCAAAGCAACGTGGTCGCGGGGCGCTCGCGCATGCCCCAAATTTGGAGGCAACGTATATAGATTGCAATATTGTGTGACAGCGATGGCTGGCTTGCGCGCAGCACGCACTATTCGCCCCGCACTGCCGCCCCTGTTGAAAACCGCAGCAATGTGGTCCCGGGGTGCCCGCGCATGCTCCAGATTTAAGGGCTTCGTGTTTTGTATTGTTGCTTTGACAGGGATGGGGAACCGGCATGGGTCCTGGTCGGCTGCCAGTCGCCTAGGGGGGTGTTTCTTCATAGGGAACACTGATCAACCCCTCCCCGGAGGGGAAGAAGGGAGATGGAGGAGGAAACTTGTTCAACCGCTCACTCCCAAACGTGCAGTTGGGATTCTGGCGCGGTGCCGCACCCGCAGCACCCTAGACGGTGCACATTCGCAGGAGTGCTCAGTGCTCAGAGTTCCATCGCCGATTTCAGCTCGATGCTTCCCCCCTGAGCCAGTCCCCCCCTAATCGTTTCCCCTCAGCCCCCCCCGCGCCGCACGTCCCCCCACGCGTTTGTTAAAACTGAGGGCCTATCGCCTAAACATCGGTGACGTATCGCCGGCTCCGGCTCGATGCTTCTCCCTTCAGCCGGCCCCCCCTGTCATACCCCATCATTCACCCCCGCGGCACCCGCCCCCCCACGCTTTTGCGAAATCGGGGGCGCCGATCGCTGGCTCATCCGGAGACGGGCCGCAGCAGGCGGCATCGAAGAAGAACACCGAGACTGAACAGCATAAACTGGGCAACGCGGAAGAACCAGGTCGGCTGCGCCGACATTCGCGCGTGAGCTCCCCGCGCAAGGTCGCGCGCAAGCGCCTTCTATTCCAATGTAGCGTGCCGTGCGGGCGGCCCGCGTGAGGCACCGCGTAGGGCTGCTGTGCCATTGTGCGCAAGACCGTTTCTTTTCGTCGCCCCACGTCGTCGGAGATTGGGGTCGTTGCCCCATGCAAGGCAGGCCAGGGGAGGCCGAGGGAGGCTGAGCGGAGGGGGGGGTCGAGGAGACAGGGAGAGGCGGAGGAAAAGGAGGAGGAGGAGGAGGAGGAGACGGAGGAGGAGGAGGAGGAGGAGGAGGAGGAGGAGGAGGAGGAGGAGGAGGAGGAGGAGGAGGAGACGGAGGAGGAGACGGAGGAGGAGGAGGAGACGGAGGAGATGAGCACCCGCGGCGAGGCAGCCCGTGCCGCAGACCACCATGCCGCCATGCCCCGGCGCCCCCGCGGCGCCGGAGCCCGCGGCCGCCGGTGGGCCGCCGCCGGGGGCGTCCGAGGGGATGGAGGAGGCGCCCCCCCCCGGGTGCGGAGGCGAAGCGTCCTGGCTCGCCTATAGGCCCACCAAATAATGCTCTACTCATCTTTCGTGGTCTGCACGAACTGTTCGTGGAACATTTCTGGCTGGGACTGTCTTGTTTCATCACATCGGGTCTATGTTCTAAGAACATTGTTTGGGATCTTCGAACATTTGTGGGTTCTGAGAACATTCGTGGTAGGCCTATAGGAATGCCGGGACGGTCGGTCCCTGCTCAAGATGTGATCATTGTTTGATTAATCGTTTTGCCGACCGGCGCGGGCCCTCGCCCCCGCCCCCCCCCTTGGAGTAGATCTTGGCTACTTTGTTGGCGCCTGTTTCGAGCAGGTTGAGTCTCCCCTAAGCAGAGCTCTGGAGCCAGACCCCCCGGTCCCCCCCCCCTTTTCGCTCAATGTCGAAATGCCGAATCAAAAAAACGCTCACTTTTCGATTACACGTGAAAACGACCCTTCGCTGGAGTGACCTGTCGGAGCCCCCCCCGAGCGCTGAACGCGATGCGATAGTGGCTGCTTGCGTGCTTTGGTTTGGCCACCCTGCGCCTCCTTAGTCCGCGCACTGCAGGTCCCTCTTGCCTCGGGTCACCCTTGCGTGAAGCCGAATTTCGATACGATCACCTGATTCGATATCGGCTTCGGCCACTTCGGGCCGATTTCAGTCCGATCTCCCGCGCGCCAGGGAGGGTGTCCAGCGCAGATCAAAGAAATCCGCGCCGACTGTCGAAAGGTTATGCTTATGCAGCTTTTTCTTTCTGCAATCAAGCTTGTCAGCGAAGGCTGGCACGCAGCCAGCAGAGCACTAGCTTGCACTACGAAGTCTACACGGGCGCCAAGGATTAGGTCAGCGCCGTGGCCTCCAGTTGCTCGTCACCTTAGCGCCCCCCAGGGGCGGGATGCGCCCTGGCGACCAGAGGGCTGGAAGAGGCCCCCCCGGCTGGGGCGGCGGCGGAGTCGAAGACGAGCATGTGCGTAAGCATTGAATTTTCGGAAGGGCGGGCGAATCCTTTGAATCTGCTCGGGCCCCTCCCTATTGCGCGGAACGCGCCCAGGGAGGTGCCAGTGCCGATCCGGGAAGACCCGCGCAGACCTTCAACCAGTCTCTGCTACCGCAGTTGTGTGTTGCCTCTCTGCGGGGGTTGGAGGCGGGGAGGAGGTCCGGGGGAACGTAGGATGTCTTTGTCCTCCCCCCCCCAACGTTCCCCCTCGTCCGCCGATGCCCCGCCGGGAGAGGTGCTGAGATGGGCGCAGCCCTTCCTGCAGCTCGCCGGGGAGCTCGAGCCCGAGGAACCCGTGGCGGCGTACTTCTGCCGCACGCACGCGCTCGAGGCCCTGGTCCCCGCCCTCGTCCGGGCGAGGAAGCCCGGGCCTCCCACATGGGTTCCGAGCAGGTGTGGGCTATTGCATGTGGGTTTCTGTGTAAGTCGGGCACGCTCCTGCACATGGGGAATCCTCAAACGTACTTACAACATGGGGACGATTTGTTTGGATCATGTTTGACAATGCTGGACCATGTTTTGAGTATTTTCAGATTTTCCTTCCACAATCCGCCTGTAGGGGGACATGCCCGACCTAAGTTTATGTCGTTCTCCCAGTTTGCCTGGCGACCCTTCGATGCGCATTGCAGCTACCGCTCCGCAGAGTCGGGCGGGCATGGCCGAACGACGCGCTCGTCTTCCTCTCCCCTCCGGCATGAAATGAGGTCGGAGGATCGCGTCGCATCGCCGATGCATCGGCGATGTTTCTCGATGTGGAGCCCGATGCTTTTCGCATCGTTGCGCGATGCATCGCCGACGTCGCCGATGCACCAGCGAAGCGTCGGCAGTGCATCGGCGGTGCAGCGCGACCCTCCGACCACAGCTGCTCGGGCCCCGTTTGGGTGGCCTCCAGGAAGGTGGGGGTGGTCCACGGCGAGGCACAGGCCTCGAAGACAATCAAAATATCGGGGGTTCGCAGAGGGGGGGCTATCCCAGAGTGGGGTTTGGGAACGTACCCAGCTGGATGCTAACATTTACTTCTCACAATGGCCGCTTTGACCGGCTTCCCTTTAACCCCACCTCTGCCCCTACCCCATCTGTGCGCCCCCCCGAGGAGGCTGCATGAGCACACGCTGCTGGCTGCTCGCGCGGGCACGTCTTGGGATCGGCGTCGGGCCCCCCTCTAGGGCGCGCTCCGCGCGCCGCGGGGAGGGGGTCAGCACGATCGAAGAACTGTGAAGACCGACATCAGTTCCAGTTCGGCGTCGATTTGACAAACAGCCACTTTGACACAACGAGTCGCCTGCCCGCAAGCGGCCGCGGTCGGTCTTGGCCACCACCCAGCGTCGCGCACCGTGCCCGTTCTGTGCGTACCCGTTTCGGGTCTCCGACCTTAGGAGGAAGCGGAGGAGGAGGAGGAGGAGGAGGAGGAGGAGGAGGAGGAGGCGGAAAGACGAGGAGGAGGAGGAGGTTTCGCAGTACAAGTGGGCAAACAAATGGGCTGCAGCAGCCAGATTCGTCTACCTCCTGTCACAGTCCATCCACATGATGTGTTCGCTCAAATCGGACGACGGCATCACCAAGGAGGGGAAACACACGATCGAATCGCAACATCGACAGCACAGCGATCAGTACATTGACGGCGGCACCGAGACACGACCACCGATATTCAAAGCACGCGAAAGGTCTAACAGGACAGACTTTCAACGAACGGCAACGCCACCGATCTACGACCCCAACAGCGCACAACCATTCAGGGCAAACGTCGAACCAGACAAGCAGGACACGGCCACCGACGACAGCATCGACAAGCAGTACGTGTACATTTCATTGCAGCGTGGACGAGAGTGCCTACCAATACCCGCCACCAAAGGCTGAACCAAGGCCTGGAGGGAGACGCACATCCCAATTGCTGTCCTTCCCGACATCAGCGGAGAGCACTTCTCCTTATTACAAGAAAAAACCCGGCACAGCCTTCAACGACCGAAAGTGCTACGTTTCCCGCGCGAACGTCGAGCTTCACTGGTCGCAGCTGCCGGCGCAGATGCCATTACAGAAAAGCCGGGTACAGACCAAACAACAAGCCCTTCTTCGAAGATGAGAAATTTCAGCGATGCCCAAGAAAAGGCCCCACTCATCTATAGGACTTGGGAAGAGCTCAGCGGCGACATCGACCACAACAGAGTCCGACTCATATACGCATGGTACAACGAGGACGGCGCCGAAACGAGCCTCAAGGACACACTGTGCACGATCTACGACCAGCAGATCGCCAAGAGATGCGTTTCCCGAATGGACAGGGGCTACTCCATCCATGCCAAGATCAACTACGCGGACCCCCGCTACGAGCAGCGTGCCTTTTCAGTTCCAGGGCTGACGCCAACCGCAATGTCGCCGCGGGGGCAGAACTGCTCTCCCTTACGAACTACCTTGCAGGCTCACTTCACCAAGCGCATCTGCCCTCCACTCACCATGGGCTACATGCACTATTGACACAGATAGAAGACACATTGCGCCACCAGTCACAGACGAACAACCCGGCTACGTAAAGCTCGAAGAAGCCGCGCAGGTCGTGTTTTTGTTTATTGTTCTCCCAATGGACTGGAACAGCACGGTTCAGACCAGATTACCACCGAGGGCCGCTACCACCTGCGCGCTACGAGCTTCATGCACCTCGCACCGTCGCCCATCACTGAGCACCCCCCGGCAGCCACATCACGCACGACAGCAGCAACCCAACATGCATCCTGCCCGGGCCCTTCATGGCCCCACCGCGCCCGCAAGGACCACTATTCACCCTCGAGCAACCGAAGTGCATCATAAAAAGAGGAGGATTCAGATTATCACCGGCCTTCTTCTACCAGAAGACGCTCACCACGGATTTCGGCTGTAGATTTTGCAGACAGAAAGGCGCGACATCGAGACAGCTCAGCGCGACCACCTGGAGAAGCTGCGTCGCAGATGCAACGGGCGCGCGAGAATGTTGCCATCAGTGTTGCCACCAGAGCAAGCTATGCCCAATCTCACCTTCAAGAGCAAAAAGGAACGGGGGCAGGACTGACACTGGCCACGAGCGCACTCCACGAATCCCAGCCAGGGCACCCACTCCACCCGCGCAAACCAAATCCGACGAAAGACATAACCCATGGAGAGACGACGCCGAGTTATGCTGCGGCAGACCAGGCTCCGACGAGAGTTCCGACGAAAACGATCCATGGGCCAAGGATGGGCGGTGTTTCAGACACCCGCGAGTTTTACCTTATGTCGCCCAAGCCCAATATGCACCGCGACATGCGTTTCCCTAGCGGATGGGCAGCGCATTGCTACTGCGCCAGCGACGCGGGCGCGGGCGGCCACGGAGACGACGGCTGGCATTGCGCAGTCTACTACCGCGCCCAACGCACGCGCGCGCAGGTGTCCGAGCGGCGGCCTTCTACTATCGGGCAGGCAGAGCCTGATGCGCCCGCCGCTGTGTCCAGATTCCTACACCGCTACCGACCTACACTCTGTCACCAATTGCAACGGGCCAAGCCTCAAGTTCAGAGGCGCCGAGCAAGCGCGCGCATCCCCTGATGACCAAACCGCCCAAGTGACCCGCATTTACGCGCTACGACCTACAGGCACGCGCAGCGCACTACCGCGACAATCTAGCCCTTCCGACTGCGAGTCGCCGCGACCAGTCAGCGCCTCCAGGCTCTATTCGCGGGGGGGCCAAGCGCCGCCCAGCGCCGATTAGATTGCGGCCGCGCAGGAACTTGCCCACTAGCTCAGCGCCCGCCGCGGCGATGACGACGTCGCGACGCGTGACTGGGCGGCCAACGTGCGCGATGCAGCAACGTTACCAGAGCAGACTTGCAACCCGAGTTCAACCAGGCGCACAGCCGCGACTGCGCGCGGCGACGACGATGACTCCAGAAAGCAGACGCCTACACCGTCGCCCAACAACGCGCCCTGCCGCCGCCGCCCAAGCGACCGCCGCCACCACTTCAGACCATTGCACCCGCGCCGCTGGCCCTTGCACTGCTGCCATTATGGGGCATGCGCGACAGCCCGACGTGCGCGCGTCGACGGATTGACGCCGCCTCGAACGCGCCAACGCCGACGCAACCATCAGGGCAGCCCAGCGACGCGCGAATCGAGCAGGCTCCACCCCTTGTTGCAAAACACATCACAGATCACAACCACAGCAACAACACGGGGCTATTCCAAGCAAGTTCATGCCCAAAAGCACACAGCGCAATGCCATCCCAACTACCGCGCCCGCAACTCCAGGAAACAAGCGATCGTGCAAACCACTATCTGCGCACCTGTCAACCCAGGCCAATCAAACGACGCAACGGCAAGAGACCTCGCCCGGCAGCTTCGCCGCGTTCATTGGGCCAGTCATAGCCGCGCTCCAAGCCGCAACCGTCATGAACTGGCCACCTCCCCAACATGTCGTCCCAGCCCATCCGCCGCCGCCCGCGCTGCAAGCGCCTATCATCTGCCCGCCGGGCGAAGACGCCAGGTCGCGGCAGTGGATTCAGGAGTTGCCCGGGCGGAATATGGCTCGCAGACGCTCGTTTCCTTGCGCGCCAATTTCCCGATCATGGCCGCGCATCCTGTCGCGGCGCGCGACGAAGCTGCGAGGCGGGGGGGGGGGCAGCAGATTCGCGTCTTCAACTGACGCAACTTATCCATCAACGTCATCGGCAACCCCGCAATCCAGAACTGCATCGCCAGGCTACGTGCGCGCCAATCCCGCTTCGAGGCCCGCCTCTACGGCCTCCGCGACTGCCTGCCCGGGGCGCAATTCAGGGCCCCCCCGGCAACAAAAACAAGTGGCGCAGCCGTGCCGGGCCGCGCCCGAGCCCGAGCCGACACTCACTGAAAAGGATCAGTGTACAGAACCAGCGACGGTAGTTACAATGATACCCACATCCAGTACCTCTCTGCCTTCAGTTTCCGCAGAAGGACAGCTACTGAACCCGGCGGACCCCTCTGTGCAGCCAGGCGCGTTGTAGTCCCTATCCCCCATGCTTCTATACCAACGATGCGCAATGCGCCTTCCTCTTGCCAGCCGCGGAGTGACAATCTGGTGGCGCGTTCCCGTTCGCTGCCCGCGGCTTGCCGGGGCATTCCTCTCGCCTTGAGTAACTGCGGGAGCGGGGGCTTTCACGTCTTCATGGGTGGGGCGGGGTGGGGGGGCGCGGGGCGTCGCTGCGCTTGCGGAGGTCGTGGTGGGCGCATTGCGCTGCCGACGCTTTGAGGGGCTCCAACGGTGCCACCCTCTCCAACAGTCGCGTCGCAGCCTTCTCCACCAGTCGCAGCCCATGGAGTACTTGGGTACCCGTAGCGACGCGGCTTATATATATATATATATATATATATATATATATATATATACATATACACACACATTCTTTCTTATATATATATATAGATTTGTTGTTTTCTTTGGCGCCAGCTCTCTCGAGCGCGTCCGCTCCCATTGTTTTAAACGGCCTGGTCCCGCGTTCTACACTTCGACGGAAGCAGCTTGTGCTTGCCTGCTGCTTTCAAGCGTTCCATTATGATGCGAACTTCTTCTGCAAGATGCCCCAGGCGACGCCCCTCTTTCATGCCGGAGGTCTCTTCCCCTTCCTTCTCATTTACTGTTGCGCCGTGCGCCCGCCGTCTTTCGCTCCGCGCCCCGACGCGTTGGTGGCGCCTCTCTCCAACGTGGTTCCGGGTAATCCTGCGGGGCCTTGGCTGGCTGCGCGCGCGCTGAGTGAAACGCGGCCATGGCAGCGCCGCTGGGGACATGGCTACCTGTGAACGGTTTGTCACGGGGTGCCCTATATGGCTGACTCTTGGAGGGGCGCCGGATGTGCCCTACATGGCTGACTCCGCCCGCGGCGCGGGTCTAGCGGCGCGCAGAACTAACGCTCGCGCGCGGCATTATGCAGTAGTTGTTCGTGCCCAGGCCACCCATCTAGCACGGACTCTTTTTTGTCCCAGACGTCCACGCGAGCAATCTTCCCACGCAGGAGGACTGGTGGCACAGGGCGTACTTGACAGGAGCAGCTTGTACTTACTTCGGCTTCTGGCTTTAGGTGGCCCCATTCTGCTGCAAGCTGCTTCTACGAGACGCTCCAGGCGCCGTGCATTTCCACCGCCGTGCACCCCCTCCCTGCCTGTGCTGGATTAGAAGCCCACGCGTGTTCTTTCAGTGGCTTTGCTGTTTTTTTCCAATGTAGATCCAAAGGTTTAGGGTCAGCCTGGGGACCCTGGCCGATTGACAGGGCGCGCAGGCCAGCCCTGCAACAGTTTCATCGCGCGAGTACACAGAGTGGACAATAATGGCTCGTGCTAAACCCGAGAAGAACAATGCAACAGAACACGGGAGTTCTAATGCCGAGGTGATTCGGGGTAGAACCATACAATTCTGGTTTGCAGCCCTAGAACTGGCGCGCTATGCTCTTTCCTTCTACTTGATGCTGCATTCGGCAGCAGGCTTGACTCGCTGCTCTACTCATTCCTCGCATCGACACCTTTACCTTTCACTCTTCATGTTACGCGTGCTCAAAGTGTGCTTTTTCGCGAGTGGAGGGACGTGCATTTTTTCATGCAGCCTGGCAGTTTCAAGTGCACTTTGGCAGCGCAGCGCCACTTCTACATCGCAGCCCCCTTCCGCGCGCTGCCTCGAGTGTATTTTGGCTGCGCAACGCCGCGCTGTTGTAGCTAATTCCGCAGTTGTAAGGTTCCCAGCCGCAAGGCCAGCCACTATTATCTGAACCAGCCTTACAGCGTATGACCTGCCTACTCTGATCGGTGGGTTGGTGGGGGATGGTGATGGTGCCATGCGGTCGGCGGAGGAAGGGGTGGAGCGCATTCACATGCTGTTTGGGGTCAACCAAAACCCTGGGCAGCAACCCTTGAACTGCACAGCCGCGGCGTTGCTCTCGCACAATCCCTGTTGCACTGTTTGCAGCATGTGCCCAATGTATTGCGGCATATTCTCAGTATTCCAGGGTCTACCTCTGTTCTGGGATTAACCACAAGGTACACGCTGCTTTACCTGGCGGGCGCCTACTAGTTTACCTATACGGATCGACGGCTCTACTTACCGCTTTAGCTGCGCCGCCCGCCAGGTAATCTTTGCGCCGAATCGTGTGGAGGAGGGGGAGGAGGAGGAGGAGGAGGAGGAGGAGGAGGAGGAGGAGGAGGAGGAGGAGGAGGAGGAGGAGGAGGAGGAGGAGGAGGGAGGAGGAGGAGGAGGAGGGAGGAGGAAAGGGGGGAGGGTGGAAGAGGAAGAAGAGGATGAGGAGGAGGATGAGGAGGGGGATGAGGAGGATGGGGAGGAGGACGAGGGAGGAGGAGGAGGAGGAGGAGGAGAGGAGGAGGGGGAGGAGGAGGAGGAGGAGGAGGAGGAGGAGGGGAAGAGGAGGAGGAGGAGGGAGGATGAACGCGGAAGGGTCCCCAGCTCCGACCCCAGAAGCCTGCGCGGGCCTCTGGCAATCCGTGCTCGTGCCGCATGTGCCCGTTCTCGCGATGAGGTCCTCGCGGAGCTGGAGCTGGCGGAGGGCCAGAAACGGCGGCTGGATCTTTCTGGCGGCCACGGGGCGGTGCAGCGCTCAGCCTTGCGCGCGTTCCAGGAGGCCCAGGATTCGGGTCGGACAAAGGGGTTGGGTCAGGGAAGGAGGAAGGAAGGACGGGGCCAGGACAAGGATAAATCCGTTACAGAACGTTCTGGAACGCTCTCAGGGCGTTCCAGAAGGCTCTGAGGAGGTCGCGGCGCCCGATACATCCTCCAGAACCGCTGGTTTTCAGAGATTCACGACTTATCCGCATCCGATTTATTTATCCTCGTCCTAGCTTATATGTTGTGGGGTTTGCGAAATCTGCCCCATCCCTTGCTTTTCAAGGGCACCGCCGAGGGCGCGCAGCTATTTTCGCGCTTCGCGGTCCTGCCCCGCCCTCTCCGGATCCTCCTCTCCTCCCACCGGGGCCGGGGGGCGGCGCGAATGCGCGAAGGTATTTGTCGATGAAGAAAAAAACGCCGTAAACATCAACTTTTGGCGCTCCGCGCGGATTTCTTGGATCTGCGCTGGGCCCCCTGCGCGGCGCCTCCTGCGCCGCCCCTGGCGCGCTCCGCGCGCCGGGGAGGGGGGTCCACCGCGGATCCAAGAACTCCGCGCGGAACCCCAAACGTTTGTGCTTATGTTTTTTCTAGGATCGCCGACAGGGGCCCGACAGGGTCCACCCCGCCATGGGGTGCGCGGTATCGCCACCGAGTGCCGACCGCCGACCTGTCGGCGACGTGTCGCCGAGTCCAGGTCGATGTTCCCCGCCCACCTCCGTGCCAGCCCCCTGCGCGGTGGCCCCCGTCGTCGACGAGGTCGCGCTCGTCGAGGAGCTCGTCCTTGGAACTCGCCGCCCCCAGTGCCGTTGGCGTCGTTGCCCCTCGCCTTTGCGGGCCTCCCCAGGGAGGGTCACAGCTGCTAATGGAATGCCCCGCTGTTTCTCTCGTCCCACTACTGGTCAGCTCCCTGGGGTGCTCCCTGGGGTGCTCCGGCCCCCACCCCGCCCAGTCCCCTCGTGTGGACTCTTGCGCGCGGGCTCGGTCTCTGTCTGTCTCTGTCCTGAACGGTCACAGAGTCTCCCACCAAAGGCCCGCTGATTCCCCGCCAGTGGGCCCATGGACGGCCCCGCGCACGGCCCGTGGGTACAGGTTCGGCAGGCCCAGCAGGATGCGGACGGCGCGGGCGCGGGCGATGCTGCCGACAGGCTGCTCGCCGCGGGCTGCCGCCTGGACGTGCTGGCCCAGTTCCACGACGGCGCGAGCCGGGACGGAAACGCTGGCCGGGGCCACGGTCGTAGGCGAAGCACGGAGGAGCGACGCAACAAACGGGGGGGGGGGTCGTCTTCACCGACATTGGCGCGTGCGCTGCCCGCGTGAGGTCGCGCGTGAGCGCCCCCGATTCCAGCGCAGCGCGCCACGCTGGCGGCCCGCGCAAGCCGCCGCATAGGGTCGATGTGATATCTCGCGTAGGACCTGTTCTTCTCGTCGCTGAAATAATCAGAGGACAACGGGGTGCTGATACCGCTACCTCTCCCTCGTTTCCAGGCCTGGTTCCGATCGGGCCCGATCCGATGTCGGACGTCCTTTCGATTCTGGTTCCCATCCGAGTCCGTGATTCCTTTTCGATTTCGATGTCAGATGCTGATTCCAGCTCCGATTCGATAGTCCTGACCATTTTCGATTTCGATTATGATCCGATGTTCCGTACGGTGGTTTGACCACATAAATCATCATTCTTCCCTCCATTACCTTCTTGCCTGCGGCAACGGCGACGGCGGGAGGGGGAGGGGGAGGAGGGGGAAGATGATGATGATGATGTTGATGATGATGATGATGATGATGATGATGATGATGATGATGAGGATGAGGATGAGGATGAGGATGATGATGATGATGATGATGATGATGATGATGATGATGAGAGGAGGAGGAGGAGGAGGAGGAGGAGGAGGAGGAGGAGGAGAGGGAAGAGCAGGAGGATAAGGTATGGGAGGAGGAGCAGGAGGAGGAGGATCAGGATCAGGAGAGGAGGAGAAGGAGGATCAGGAGAGGAGGAGGACAAGTGTAAACCCAAGAAGCATCAAGGATGTTGGAATCAACCCTCCCTCCAAGCTCCCTTTTCATAGGCCCCCAGAACGGTTCATTTGTACTGAGGGAACTGCCTCGTTGGAAGACAACTGTTTGAAGACCCTGAAGCATGTCAGAACGTCGGAACATTGTTCTCGGGATTCCAACGCCACGGATCAACCTGACTGTCGCGCTTTGACGATCCTGGATCGTGCGTTCCTGGGACGTGAACACCGCGAATCAGCATAACCTGTGCACGCTCACAAGCCTGAATCCGTCCAAAACGCCACTTCTGATATGGTGATCATGGGAATCCCTGGAACTGCTGTATTTTTTTTCAGGCGGATGTGCGCGGCGCTACGGCGAGAGCCACATTTTGTAAAGGGCCCGCCCTCAGTCCCTGAAACTCTTGCAACGTTTTGAGACGAATGTGCGCTGCGCTAAGGCGAGAGTCACATTTTTGAAAACCACTCGCTCTTAATCCGTGAACCTTTTGCACATGTTTAAGATGACTGTGCTCGGCGCTAAGGCGAGATACGCATTTCGAAAAAGAACCGCCTTCAATGTGTGAAACTCTTTGCTCACATTTAAGTCGAATGTGCGCGGCGCTAGGGTGAGAGCCGCATGTTGAAAACCACTCGCTCTCAATCCGTGAAACTCTTCTTTTTTCTAAGTCGAATGTGCGCGGCGCTAAGGCGCGAGCCACATATTGAAACCACTCACCCTCAATCCGTGAACCTCTCGATTTGTTTAAGACGAATGTGCGCGGAGCTAAGGCGAGAGCCACATGTTGAAAACCACCTGCCCTGCATCTGTGAAACCGTTTTCAACCTTTAAGCTTCAGAATCATAAATGGTGAGGAAGTCTCAGGCGAAACGCCCGGCCCGCCCTAAGAGGAAGAGGAGGAGGAGGAGGAGGAGGAGGAAGAGGAGGAGGAGGAGGAGGAGGAGGAGGGAGGATCAGCAACCCAAGATTCATCAACGATGCTGTAATATGCCAGTGCAGTACAGGATTCATACCCACTGAGGGAAGTGCCTTGATAGGAGACAACCATTAGAAGATTTTGAAGCGCGCCAAAGCACATCATCGGATCTCAAGCGCCGCCAATCAACCTGATTGTTACGCTCTGGTGATCGTGACTCGTGGCAGAACGCCAGTTCTGTGACGTCGACACCGCGAATCAACGTAACTGTCGCGCCCTGACAACCGTGAACCGCTCCAAAAGACCATTTCTGGTACGGTACCCACTGGAATTCGTGAAACGCTTAAAATGTTTAAGACGCGTGTGCGCGGCGCTCAAGCGAGACCGACATTTTGAAAACCACCTACCTTCAATCAGTGAAACTGTTGCCAAGTTGTCAGACGAGAGCGCGCGGCGCGAAGGTGATAACCGCATTTTGAAAATGGCCCGCCCACATTCCGTGAAGCTCTTGCAACTGGTTAAGACGAATGTGCGCGGCGTTAGGGCGAGAACTCTTTTTCGAAAACGGCACGCCTTCGATCCGTGAGCCCTTGCAATTTTTTGAGAAGACGAATGTGCGCGGCGCGAAGGCGAGAGCCACATTTTGAAAACCACCCGCGCTCCATCCGCGAAGCTGTTGCCAGTGTGGATGCTTCATGGTCATAAAGGGGGAGGAAGTCTTAGGCGAAACGCCCGGCCCACTTTTTCGACCGGCCTCGGAGTGCGACAGGAGGAGTTCTTGATAAGGAAAGGGAGTGGAGGACAGGAGGATGAGGCCCCTGGGGTCTTGACTGGGCGGGTCCGGACCCCGGGGTCCGGACCAGGGGGTCAGGGCCACGGGAAGTCTAGGTCGCGGGAAGTCCTCTACAATTGCACAATATGAAAATACTCTCCCACTTCCCCTGATGGCGTCCGGAAGATATTCGGCACCCCCCCGCGTACTGTTTTTTTACACACAGGATTCCCCGGAGTTGGGTTTTCGTTTTTTTTTTTTTTTTTTTTTTTTTTTTTTTTTTTTTTTTTTTTTTTTTTTTTTTTTTTTTTTTTTTTCAAAAATGCTGCTCTCGCTGAGGCGCCGGCCTCATTTCTGCTCCCGAATCGTTCCGAATCGTGCTCCCGCTGCAGCGTGGGCCTCATTTTCGGATCGGTGTTTGGCCTCCGTCGTTCAGGATGGCGTTCTCGCCCCAGCGCGGGCCTCTTTCTCGCGCGCCCATCCGCCCGCCACCACCGCGCCGCACCACCACCACCACCACCACCACCACCACCACCACCACCACCACCACCACCACCACCACCACCACACCAGCACCAGCACCAGCACCAGCACCAGCACCAGCACCAGCACCAGCACCAGCACCAGCACCAGCACCAGCACCAGCACCAGCACCAGCACCACACCAGCACCAGCACCACCAGCACCACACCACCACCACCACCCACCACCACACCACCACAACCACACCACGCACACACGCACGCACGCACGCACGCGCACCACCACCCACTACGCACGCGCGCGCGGAGCCACAGGTCCGCTACGACACGCGTCCGCGGATAGAGAAAATCAGCGCTATGGTAAGGGATGGGAGGGAGGGGTAGGACGTCAGATATGACGCGAGCGCACCTAGCTTGTCTTCCTCCCCCTCCTCTTCTTCCTCCCCCTCCTCTTCTGCCTCCAGATCGGGAGGTCCTCCACTTCTTCCCCCTCCTCTTCTTCCTCCAGATCGGGGGAAGTCCTCTTCTTCTTCCCCCTCCTCCTGCAAGGCCCAGAGCCGGGCGGAATGCCATTCCGATCGCGCTATCGATCTCGATTTCGATTCCGCCCCAGTGTTCTCGATGCCGATTCTGGGAAGGATTTCGAGTCTGGTCAAATACGGCGCGCGCTTTCCGATTCCTTCCGATCCGATGTTCGGCCGATCCGATTCCGAGTTTCCAGTTCGAAGCGGGACCTGGTTTTCACCAGTTTTGGGGCCTCCTAGGAGCCCTTCGTCGCCACGGCTGGATTCGCTTCGGAATTCTGGTCCGGACGCACCTCAGGAGAGGTCCGGGGAGTGGCGGTGTGGGTATCTTTACGTCGGGCACCTCCCTCTACAGGAGGAATAGTCAAAAATAATGGAAAATAGTCTGGGGACGATCTTTTCTCACTGTTTTTGAGCATTGCTGGGTCTTTTTTGGTATGTTTAAATTTTCGTCCAAAATCCGCCTGTAGGGGGACACGCCCGACCTAAGGGTACCTTGTGGTCTCCCCAAGTATCCGTATCCGCGGTCTCGGTGGCCAGGCCCCCGGGCCGCGACACCGCGGGCACGCGGCGTCTTTTGTCGCGGAGTCCCCGCGCGGAACATATCTGTGCGACCGCGTATCCGCTGGATGGCGCATTTCGGGTGTTGCTAGAAGTGCCCCTTGCCCAAGGTGCCCCCAGGATTTCCGAGGAGCCCCCCCCACGACCTCCAGAGCACCCCTCACGAGGCCCAGAGGACCCCAGGGGCTCCAAAATGGAGCGAAAAGCTGGGGGCACCTTGGGGCGGGGTCACCTCTAGCAACCCCTGAGTATTGGAATCCAGACCGCTGGGTACGGATACGTTCGCTGCTTGTGACACGGGTTGCTCGTCCGTCCCCCCGTCCTGCGCTTGCAGCGGGGGTTCGGGAGGAGCGGGGCTGACGAAGGAGGGACTCGGAGGAAGGAGGGAAGGGAGGGTAACCCAGGATGGTCCAGGAAGGTCGCCCAGGGCTGTGTGAGCGCAATGGTGCCTTAGACTAGCTTCGAAACCATCGTCCGAGGAAACAAGCGCACAGACAGGCCCCCCGGGGGCAGGCCGCCATTGGTTAGAGCCCCAGGCCCCTGTCCACCTGCCGGCCTGCCGCAGGGGCCGTTGGCCGGCCACGGACGATGGCCCACCGCCGCCCCCCCGGGACGGCCCAAGAGGGCCGCAGGAGTACCCCGGAAGGGCCCCGACGAGGGAAGGAAGGTTCGGGGGTGGACAGAACCCCCAACAGTGACACGTCGAGTAGTGAATTGTCCGTTTTCGGTTCTCGAGAGGGCGCCGTGGCCGTTATTTTCCAGGCTCGCGCCCGCCAGGTTTGGGCCTCAGGTCGTTTTCATTAAACCACGTTTTACTAAAGGGGGTTTGTCCATCCCCGAAAGGTGAGGAGGAGCGGGGGGGGGACGGGCGAGGCCCCAGAGAGACGGAAGGAGGGGTGCGGGGAGGGGGGGGGAAAGGAGGAGCGAGGCTGGGGGTGAGCAGGAAGGCCAGAGTCAGCCCAAGCCCCCTCTTCGTGAGACCTTGCAGTCGTGCAGGCCTCTTGTTTCATTACGCGAAGCGCTCCTTTGAAAGACCAGCACCCCAAGGCACTTCCATTCAAGCGAGATCCCCGTTTCGACACAGAATTTGGAGAATATTGTAATGTATGATCGTGCATCATACAGTTCAACGAGGTGTCCAGCGACGTCCGCGTTCTGACAAAGGACCTTTCGCTGTCAGTGCAATGGTTGCGCACGCAGAAAGTCACACTCGTGGCCGTTAATATCGCGGAGATCTCAAGAGGGGACCCCTTCTTGACAAAAATAATTGCCCTCCGTCCGTCCCGCTTTTAAGCCCAAGGACGTCTCGGGCGAACCCACCAATCTTACCAGAAGCCGTCCTCCGTCCGTGTATCTGTTGCAAGCTTTAGACGAATGTGCGCGTCGCTGACGCGAGAACCCCATTTTGAGGAAGAGCCAGCCTCCATTCGTGCAGCTGCCGGGAGCATCTAAGGCGCATCTCCGCGGCGGTCAGGCGAGAGCCACATCTTGCAAGACGTCATGACATGCCACGGCGGATTCGCAAGGTGTTAAGACGGGAGCCCCATTTGTTTCAACGACCCGACTCCCATCCCAGAAGCAGGATTAAAGTTTGAGGCGAATGTGCGCGAGAGCTCATCAAACATACTCCACTCCGCATCATCCCTCCAACATGTTGCAGACTGTGAGACGGATCTGCGTGGCTCTGAGGTAGGAGCTATACCTGAAAACCGCCCTTACTCCATCCTTGAAGCTCTTGTGAACTTCAAGCCCCCGGCTCGTGATCGATGAGGTCTCGGGCGAAACGCCTGGTCCGCCCAGCTGACGCGCCGGGGGGCTGCGACGGGGAGGAGCGATCTGGGAGGAGAAGGGACGGAGGCGGAGGGAGAGGAGGAGGTGGGAAGCATGCGCCGGCTGCGCTCTGTCCTTCTGGCAGACGCCCCCCCCCTCCGCTCTCCCTGGGAAGGCGTCCCGCCGCCAGCCGCCACGGCGAGGGCGCAGTACGCCAGGGCCCGGGCGGTGCACCTGCGGCGGTGCCGGCGCGAGGGGGCGAGCGCCGGGCGCCCAGCGCCGCCGGCGTTCGCGCCGCTGCGGGGCGCCGAGGAGGCGGAGGAGCGGGAGAGGGCGAAGCTGGCGCTCGCGAGGGCGGAGGCGGAGGCCCAGGCGCGGAGAGGGGGGGGCGGGGAGGTGGCGGCGCAGCGCTCGTGCACGCGTGGCGCTTCGCCTGGAGAAGGACGGGGAGACGGAGGGAGGGAGGAGGAGGAGGAGGAGGACCAGTGTAGACCCCAGACGCATCGACGGTGTTGCACTAAACCCTCGCCCCGAGTTCCCTTTGCATAGGTCCCTGCAGGAATGTGGCTCATTTCGGGAAGTGTCCCATTGAAATGCAAATATGATAATCTTGACTTCTACCAAAACACCATTTCTGAGATTTCAACGAGCGAGTAGGCGTGATTGTTGCGTCCTGACAATCCTAAATCGCGCCAGCACGCAATTCCTGGGACTTCGACCTTACAAATCCCTGCAACGGTTGCAAACTTTTGAGACGGATGTGCGCGGGGCTCAGGCGAGAGCAATTTTTTGGAAAGACACTGCCCTCCACTTTTGAAACGAACGTGCGCGGCGCGAAGGCGACAGCCACATTTTGAAACAGAACCGCCCTTCATCCTTGAAACTGTTGCGAACTTCGATGACGAATGTGCGTGGCGCTAATGCGATAGCCACATCATGTTGTACATCTCAAGCTTCATGAGTTTACATGGTGGGGAAGTCTCAGGCGAAACGCCTGGCTCGCATGGACAGTTATTTATAATGACAAGAGATTGAGGAGGAGATGGAGGAGGGAGGAGGAGGAAGAACTATACGGTCTCCTCTCGCCCACCTCTATCACTGTCCTGATCAAGTCGATGGCCATGCCGTGCGGATGGGTTGGAGGAGGCGGATCAGCTGCTCGCCCTTTTCACCTGGGTTGGTTCGTGCTGACAGATGTCAGCGTTGACCTGTCAGATTTCCTCTCACTGCTTCCGCATCTTGGCAGCGAGCTCGTCCATCCATCCCGATCTTCGTGCTGCGCTTTGCGTTTCGAGATCTGGGTGGCAGAGCGAGGCATGAAGTTCGGCGACCTGGGTCAGGACGTCACCCTCGACGGGAGGGTTTCTCCGAAGGGCTTTGGCGACCCGTCCTCCTCCTCCTCCTCCTCCTCCTCCTTCTCCTCCTCCTCCTCCTCTACTCCTCCTCCTTCTCCTCCTCCTTCTCCCTCCTCCTCCTCCTACTCCTCTTCCTCCTCCTCATCCTTCTCCTCCATCTCCTCCTCCCCCTTCCCCTCCTCCACCTCCTCCTCCTCCTCCTCCTCCTCGGGTCGCCTACGGCCCCGGGGGAAACCGTGCACCCCCGACCGTCCAGCCAGCTGTGCGTGCTTTCTTGCCCGTCGTGGCCATGCCGGCCACACTGCTGTCTCGCCTTGGGGTCTGCCGTGGGCTCGGCGTGGGCCACAACAGCATGTAGAGGAGCGCGGGAGGGGGAGGACAGGGAAGGGGAGGGGAGGGGAGAGGAGAGGAGGGGAGGGGAGGGAGAGAACCATGATAGGAGGCGGGAAAAGGGGAAGTCGCCCCCTGCCGTCGCATGTTCGGGTTTTTCCAGTTTGCCTGTCGCGAGCTTCGAATAGGTTGGGAGAGGGAGGTAGAAGGAAAGGGGGAGGAGATGGAGTCTGGAGGAGGGGAAGGAATAGGAGCAGAGAGGAGGAGGATAGAGGAGCCGAGAGCTTGACATATGATGAAGTATGATCAAGGATGATGGGGAGGAACGGAGGGGCGAGGAGGTGGGATTCGCAGGGAATGGTGGACCTTCTGCCTGCGGACAGACATGGAGGACGGACGATGGCACAGGGCGACTGGTGAGGACAGAGGGAGGACGCGGACGAGGACGAGGACGTGGACGGAGGACGAGGAGGCGGAGGAGGTGGAACGGGGGACTCGGGATGGCGAGCGAGGAGGCGGACGCGCGGCAGAGGCCAGGGGGCTGGAGCGCGAGGAGCATGCAGGAGGTCGAGGCCCGAGGGGGAGGAGGCCGGGGGCGCCGGCGCCTCGAGGAGGAGGAGGAGGCTCGAGTCGAGGAGATGGAGGCTCGAGGAGGAGGAGGCTCGAGTCGAGGAGGAGGCGGCGGCGGCACGGGACGCGCCCGCGCGCCGCCCCCGCGAGGCGTTGGCCGAGGAGCGGCGGCGGCTCGAGCTTGCGCAGGCCCAGGCGCAGGCGCAGGCGGGTGGGGGGGAGGGGAAGGATGCCAAGTCAGGCGATCGCCGACATGGATCAAGGGGGCGTGGATTGGCGGCGGGTCCCGTTTCCATGGGGAATCGCGGATTTCCGCCGCCGAGCGAGGCGGCATCGGCCGCATTTTGGGGAGGGCACCTTTCCCGATCCATGGATTTGGCGACCGCGCGCCAATGTATGTATCGCTAAGCCATGTTTGCGCGCCCCCGACCAAGGGAGACGAGGCGGAGGTCGGAGGATGATGATGCTGATGATGATACTGATGATCTGCTGCTGATGGTGCCGATAATGGTGATGCTGGTGATGAAGATGGTGGTGCAGATGATGATGCTGCTGCTGCTGATGATGATGATGATGATGATGATGATGATGATGATGATGCGGGCAGGCATGATGATGCTCGTGGTGACGATGATCATACTGATGATCATTAATGGCGACGGTGATGCCGATGACGATGATGCCCATGATGATGATGCTGATCGTGATGATGGTGATGCTGCTGAGTAGGATGATGATGATGATGCTGATGCTGATGCTGATGCTGATGCTGATGCTGATGATGATGATGATGATGATGATGATGCGGGTAGGGATGACGATGCTGGTGGTGATGACGCAACTACTACTGATGATGATGATGATGCTGCTGCTGCTGATGATGATGATGATGATGATTGACGACGGCGGTGATGACGATGATGACGACGATGATTATGCTGGCCATGATGCTGATGATGATGGTGATGATGAGACTGATGAGGCTGATGATGCTGATGATGATGATGCTGATGATGCTGATGATGACGAGGGTGGTAGTGATGATGCTGTTGTTTCTTTCTGATGTTGGTGATGCTGATGATGATGATGCCGCTGATGATGATAATGGCGACTAGGGTGATGATGATCCTAAACATCATGCTGATCATGCTGATGATGACGATGGCGAGGCTGATTACGATGCTGATAATGTTGTTGCTGCTGCTGATGATTATTAGTCGGATGATGCTTGTTGTGATTGGAGGATGGCAATGCTGGCGCAGTTGCTGATTATGCTGCTGATCTTATTAGTGTGACCATGCCGATGATGATACTGATGCGGCTGCTGATGATGATGGCGATGCTGATTATGATGATGACGATGATGATGTTGCTGATGATGATGATGCTGAGGCTGATGATGCCGAGGATTGTCAGGATTAGGATGACGATGCTGATGATGACGTTGATGATGATGATGATGATGATGATGATGATGATGATGATGATGATGATGATGATGATGATGCTGCTACTGATGATGATGATGATGATGATGATGACGATGATGATGCTGATGATGATGATGATGATGATGATTAGGCGGCTGATGCTGATGGTGGTGGTGCTCATGAATGTGACTGTGATGGCGATGGTCATTATCGTGGTCATCGTTATGTTGTTGCTGCTCATGCCTACTGCTGATGATGAGGATGCTGATGCTGAGGTTGATACTGTTACGGGTACTGATGATGATATGGTGATGGTGATGATGCCGACGACGATGATGCTGATGCTGGTGATGAGGTTCATGTGATGATGATGCTGGTGATGGCAATGCTGATGCTGCTGCTGATGACGGTGATGATGCTGATGGTGCGGATGGTGGTGGTGATGATGTTGTTGATGGTGATGCTGCTGATGATGATGATGATGATGCTGGTGATGGTGCGGCTTTGCTGATGTTATGATTATGATGGTGATGGTTATTCTGGTGATGATGATGATGCTGTTGTTGATGATGATGATGATGGTGATGCTGATGCGGTCGATGCTGATGATGATGATGCTGATGATGATGGTGATGATGATGACGATAAAGATAACCTCGACGCGGAGGGGGAGGTGGAGGAGAAGGAGGAGGAGCAGGAGGAGGAGGCGGATGAGGAGGAGTTGGAGGAGGAGGAGGAGTATTGCGAGAAGGGGGAGATAAACAAGGAGGACGCGGACGAGGAGGACGAGGAAGGTGATGGTGGATCAGGAGGCAACGGAGGTTGAACGAGGACGGTGATAGTGGATGAGCAGGCTGCGAGAGCGACGAGAGGGTCGTGTGATAGAGGCTAGGGGATGGAACGGGAGGAGGACGCAGGAGATGGAGGCTCGAGGAGGAGGAGGCTCGAGTCAAGGAGGAGGCGGCGGCGGCACGGGACGCGCCCGCGCGCCGCCCCCGCGAGGCGTTGGCCGACGAGCGGCGACGGCTCGAGCTCGCGCAGGCCCAGGCGCAGGCGCAGGCGCAGGCGCAGGCGAGGGGGATGTGAAGGATGCCACGGGAGACGAGGCGGAGGACGGAATATGATGCTGATGGTGATATAGATGATGATGACGATGCTAATTATGATGATGGTGATGGTGATGGTGATGGTGATGGTGATGATAGTGACGATGATGCTGATGCTGCTGATGATGATGATGATGATGATAAGGACGAGGATGAGGATGATAATGCCGTTGACGACGATGGTGGTGATGATAATGATGTTGATGATGGTGATGAGGATGGCAGATCTGATGATGATGATGACGATGATGATGACGATGACGATGATTATGATGATGATGATGATGATTATGCAGGTTGATGATGCCGATGACGACGATGGTGGTGATGCTGATGATGCTGTTACTGATGGTGATGAGGAGGGCTGATATGATGATGATACTGAGGGTAACGATGATGCTGATGGTGGTGATGATGCTGAAGATGGTGAGGATGATGATTGTGAGTTTGATGCTGACTCCGACGATGCTGATGCTGATGATGCTCGTGCTGAGAAGGATGGTGATGACGATGATGCTGATGATGATGGCGATGATGCTGACCATGAGGTTCATGATGATGATGATGATGCTGCTGATGATGATGATGATGATGATGATGATGATGGTGCTGGCGATGCTGATAATGATGCTGTTGCTGATGTTGCTGCTCATGATGCTGCTGATGATGCTGATAATGATGGGGTCTATGCTGCTGATGTTGGTGCTGGTGCTGATGCTGCTGCCGATTTTGCTGTTGGTGATGATCATGAGTATGCTGATGGTGAGGGTGATGGTGATGGTGATGGTGACGGTGATGCCGATCATGATGCTGAGCATGATGATGCTGACGATGCTGCTGATGATGATGGCACTGTTGACGGTGATGGTGATGGCGATGATACTGGTGATTTGGATGGTGGTGGTGACGATGATGGCGATGCTGATGCTGATGATGATGATCATGATGTGGTAGTGATGATGATGACTACGCTGATGACGAGGAGGAGGATGCCGAGGAGGAACACGATGAAACAGTGGAGCAGGAGGATGAGGACGAGCATGAGGAGGAAGACAATCAGGATGAGGATGACATTGGCGATGCTGATGTTGATACTGATGATGATGGCAGTGTCGATGACGATGATTGTAATGTGGATAATGCTGATGATGCGGATGCTGAAGCTGATGTGGTTGCTGATGATGGCGCTGATGACGATGATGCTGATGATGATGATGATGATACTGAATCTGATTATGAAGAGGATTATGCTTTGATGATGATTGCGATTGCGATGATAATGGTGATGCTGATGATGATGCCGTTGATGATGGTAATGGTGGTGACGGTGATGGTAACGGCGATGGTGATGGTGATGATGATTATGATGGTGATGATGATGATGCCTAAGTATGATGATGATGCTTAGCTGATGGTGGTGATGGTAATGGTAATGCTGATGGAGATAGTGGTGGTCATGCTGATGATAATCATGGTGATTATGATGATGTCAATGCCGATGACGATGATTCGGGTGTTGGTGATGCTGATGATGCAGATTATGATGATGCTGATGCTGATGGCGCTGCTGATGGCAGTAGTAATGCTGATGATGATGCTGCTGCTGATGCTGTTGATGCTGAGGATACTGATGGTGCTGATGATGCTGCAGATGATGCTGATGATGGTGATGATAATGATGATGATGATGATGATGATGTTGATGGCGATGGCAATGACAACGACGATTGCGATGATAATGACAATGGTACTTATATGATGATGACGATGACGAGGATGATGCTGAGTATGATGGTAACGATGATGATGATGATGATGATGATGATGATGATGATGATGATGATGGTGATGGTGATGGTGATGGTGATGGTGATGGTGATGATGCTGATGATGATTGTGATGGTGGTGGTGATGGTGGTGGTGATGATGCTGATACTGATGCTGATGATTATGGAAATGATGCTGATGGTGGTGATGATGATGCTGCTGATGATGATGATGACGATGATGTTGATGATGATGATGAGGATGATGATGGTGATGCTGCTGAAGAGGGGAACGAGGAGGAGGAGGCGGAGGAGGAGATGGAACACTACAGAACAAAAGAATACCTCCCTGCGGCAGACGTTCCCTTCTGCCTGCTTCAGCACTCCTCGCTTGGATGAGGCTGAGGAGGAGGAAGTGGAAAGTGGAGGATGATGAGGGAGGAGGGTGGAGGATGAGAGCGGAGAGGTATAGGATGAATGGGAGGATCGAGGAGGAGGAGGACAAGCAAGGAGAAGGATATGGAGGAGGAGGAGGATTATGGGGAAATTCGCCGGCCCAACGGGCCAGGGCGTGCTAAGATCTCCGGTAACTGGTTAACAGTATTAACAGTATTTCTAGTTCGCGCGCGCGGGGCGGCCCCTGGGGGTCCCCCGGCGAAAAGTACCCCGACCAACGCCCGGTCGCCGCCCGACCGCCGCCCGACCACCGCCCGACCAAGTCTACTCAGAGATGGTTTTCCTTCTGGGTGCGGCCTCTCAGGCTCCCCAGAGCGCGCTCAGAGTGCCCCAAGAGGCCCCCGAGACGCCCAAAGAGCGCTCCAAGACGCCGAAGATGACCCCAAGACGGCCCAAAAGGCCCCCAAGACAGCCCAAGAGGCCTCCAAGACGCCCCAAGAGCCTTCCAAGAGGCCTCCGAAGAGAGCCCCAAGAGGCCAAAATCGTTGATTTTCATTGTTTTTTTCGATGTTTTTTGTGTTCTGGCTTTTTCGGCTTCCGGACGCTCCAAGACGGCCCAAGAGGCCCCCAAGACCGCTCCAAGACGGCCCACGAAGCTCCCAAGACGGCGCCGAAACGACCCAAGAGAGCCCTCAAGACGGCCCAAGTGCCGCCCAAGACGGACCAAGAGGCCCCAAGACGGGCCCAAGAGGGACTCAGGAGGGATACCGAGAACTCAAAAATGGAGCCCTCCGTCCCAGAAGGCGCCCAGGAGGTCCCAAAGAGGCCCCAAGAGGCCTCCAAGAGGCCCCAAGATGTCGCCAAGAGGCCCCAGGAGACTCCCAGGAGGCCCAAAAGAAGCCCCAGAAGGCTTCAAACATGTCTCCCAGGCGCCCCCGAACGGCCTCTCAACAGACCCCAAGAGGCCCCCCAAAGAAGCATCTTGACGACGACTCTATTTCGCCCCATCGAGAGACGACCCCCAGGGAACTGCTTCACCATCAAAACTCCCCACGCAACGCGTCCGAACGACACCCGCCCCCAAGAGCGCAACATGGGCAACGAACACACAGACAAAAACCAGCGATGCCATATCACGGGCCGGCGGAATGAGCGAAGCGATTCAATATAATAAATAGCAGCAGGGATGGAGCAGGAGGAGGTGGAGGAGGAGGAGGAGGAGGAGGGCCTAGCGGGCCCCTGCTCCTCTTCCTCCTCCTCCTCCTCCTCTCCTCTCGTCGATTCCTTTTTTTGTCGTTGTCCTCGCCCCTCTCCTGCTCCAGATCCTCCTGCTTCCGCTGCTGCTGGTCATCGCCTTCGCCATTGCCACCCTCCGACTCTGACGCATTCGCCCGCAACAGCCTCTCTCTTCGTCCTGCTGCCTCTCCGTCCTGCTGCACTCTTCGTGAGGGAGCCCAGGGCATCCCTGCAGCGGTCGGCTCCGGCCCGCCAGGGATAGAAGAGCCGGTGCTCGGCATCCAGCGACCTTCCTCCTCCCCCCTCCTCCTCCCTCCTCCTCCTCCTCCTCCTCCTCCTCCTCCTCCTCCTCCTCCTCCTCCTCCTCCTCCCCTCCGCTCGCTCGCCGCGGAAAAGGAGGAGGATGCTGCTGCTCGAGGCGCCCCCCGAGAGAAGAGCGCCGAAGAGGCGGCGCGCTCGGTCGGCCCCTGCACTGAGCAGCAGGGCCCCCCCCCCTGGAAGTGTGGGGCAGCTTTCGCAGGCCGTGCCGATCTAGGCTTCCTTGATGGGGTTCGAGTGGAGGGGGTCGGAGGATCGCGCCGCATCGCCGATGCATCGCCGATGTGGCTCGATGTGGGGCCCACTTTCCTCCACGCTGACGTCGCGTGCATCGCCGATGCATCGCCGATGCATCGCCGACGTATCGGCGATGCGACGCGATCCTCCGACCCCACCTACTCGGACCCCATCCAGGAGGCCTCTAGCCGAAGAATCGTGTGGGGCTGCAGGAGTTTTTCTGCATCCCAGGTCCTTTTCGGGACGGCCCCGGGACCCCGTTCTCCCGATCCTCCACCGTTTCCTTTTCGCAGACGGGGGCGCGGCGGACTGGCTCTTGACAGAGGAGCGCCAGAGCCGGATCGGCACCTGCGGCTTGGGAGCTGGCGAGGCGGTCTCCGGGTGATGCTGTCCGTGGGCTTCAGCTCTCGGCGGGTTTCCTCGTGAGGCTGCGCCGCGTGGGCGCGCCGAAGGCGCTTTGGAAGTGCCTTCGGCGCGCCGCACGGGCCCGACATGATTATCGGTGTTTGCGCGCGCAGGTGCTTTATTTTGCGGAGTTGGGCCCCCTGGCGCGAATTGCCGAACGACCCCCGTCGCGGGACATTCTGGCGACACGTTTAGCCGCCACAAGAGCCATCGATTCGACGCTGGCCGCGCAGACGCCTCCTGATCCTCCCCCGTCTCCTCGTCGCTCCTCCTCCAGGGCAACAGTTTGGGCAGACTCTTGCTTTCAGTCGGGCCTGCCCCTCTACAGGAGAAATGTTCGAACATAGTTTTGGAAAATAGTCGGGGGACGATTTTTCTCGTATGTTTGAGCATGTTTTGCGCATTTTTGGCATATGTTTCATTTTTCCTCCCAAATCGGCCTGTAGGGGGACATGCCCGACCTAACACTGGCGTTTTTCTGTTTCTTTTTTCCTCTTGTGTTTTCAGGATGAAAGCGCTCAAACACCAGTCCGAAAACGAGAAAGCAACGCACACTTTTGTTCGTGTTTTGGGTTTTTTTCTTGTTGAGACCCGAAGG